ATATCACATATCTATGATAAAGTCACTCGCCTGAAGGGTGAAGCAAAATGTTCTGTCAATTTTACTAATCTATCTGGGGAAACTAGTGGGACTTTTGGGGGTTTTGCTTTCTTTTCTCTTTTAAAAAGTTAATCTACAATATTTCGTGCTATCCTTTCAACTACTATGTATCTTGAGACTGAGCTTCCTTTCTTAAAAATGTAAGTGGTGCAGTACTGTTTCTAGTGGTAATGGTTCTCAGGAGTTATGAAAATGTGGTAAAATCATCTGGAAGTTTTGAAATTTCTTGCAGGCATGGCCAAATAATCCATGAGTATGTCTTATTATGGTTTTCTTTGTGCAAAATGCATTGTTAGATTTGTTGTGAAATATAATTCATCAATTATATCACATTAGGCATGTTAGATATGTATTGTCCGTTTTTCTTTCACAGATATTTGTAACAATCTTGTACCATCATATTAGAAAATTGACATTATGATGAAGCATTTTTTGGTTCAAACTGTGATTTTTTGGTCAGAGTTCTTGGGGATTTTGAATCCTTGTGGGCTTCAGATGCTAGGTTTTGTTTTCAAATTCTCTGTGGTTTTATTATGATTTCATAGATGGGAAGTGAATGTTTACTGGGTGCTCCATTGAAGTTTGTAGGATCATTTTCTTTTTTCTTCAAAATGTCAAAAGGTAGATCTTGAACCTGTAACGATGATAAACGTTTGAACACGAGGATAGTGGATATGTGGCTAAGGCATAGTTGAAACTCGTTGGAGTTTTTTGTTTTTCACTTTTCAGAGTCATTAGGGTTACCTTGTCGACAAGAAACTTGTAAAATAGAAGGGTTTTGTTCACATTAGATGTTTTATGTCATAGACATAGCGACAGCGAATAGTATTTGCTCCAGTCACTCATAACTTTTGGTGAATGATGGTGGCCCCTGTGTTTAAAACTTTGCTCTTTTTTTGGTTACAGTAGCTTGGTTGATACAGCTGGTTGCCTTGATAACGAAGACAGGTTATAAAATTCATTTTTCATACATGTCCCTCTATGTGATGATGCAATTTACTTTTCATTAATGCAAGTGGATTATAATAACATATAACTTTTCTGCATAATTAAGTGAACTAATTCTGATTATCTGTGGAGTCTTTGTTATATAATTTTCTTACCAATCACAGGGCAATTGCTTGTAGGAGGAAAGTAAATTGATGTGGCTCCATAAACAATAATATGATGAATTGATTTTCATATTATATTCATTTTAGCCTTTCTATTCAAAGCATGAAAATCATTATCTTCCCTACTATACTATGTTTAGGATATAGTCAAATAATCTTTTTCAGAATTAGTGAGATTTGTTTGTATTTTCTCATTAAATTATTGAAGAGATAGATGCCAATTATCTTTCCCCAAGTAAACATGTTATTGTGTTGAAATCATGAATTAAAGACAAGAATACAGGCTAGGTAGAATTTTTTCTCATTGCTATCGATACAAATAATGACAAACTTGTTGAAGTAAATAATTTGTTATCTTTTATTACTTTATATCTTCTTTAAAGAAACTTGAACATGGAAATCGGTAATACTATACTTACAAAAAAAAATTTATAAAGATTTTCGTATAAAATGAGGTGGTAAAAAATGAATAAAAGGGTAATACAAAAAATTAAACTTATTAAATTCATTCTTCCATTCATTTTTTGTCACATCACTTTGTATGGAGATTTTTATAAATTTTTTTTGTAAGTATAGTATTACTCAAAGTTATATAGGGATCTTTATAAATTTTTTTTATAAGTGTAGTATTATTCAAAGTTATAAACTATAGCCCAAAACTTTACACTTATTTAAGGCAAAATGTTGTGATTTAATCATATTAAACACATCTAGTGGGTGTACATGGCTACATGCAAGGATGGATGAGCACGAAAGTGTTAACCGAAAGTTATATTGGGATTGTTGAATGAGAGCGCAAATCTGTACTCTCAATTCTCAAACAAATTGCATTGCACCAACACTAAAGTTACCTCCACAGTAGAGACAGTGGGACAGGGACACGTAACCTTTTCCTGTATAATTGTCTCTTTCCTTTAATTCTTGCTCTTCTTTTTTTATCATATCAAAGATTCAAAACACATATAATTTTCAACTGTACAATCTCATACTAGGAACTTAATAAGTTGTAGGAAACCATGTGCCCTGATTGAATCTCCTCTCATTCATATTGCTTACCACCACGTTTCTTCACCGCCGACCAAACGAACATCAAAAGAACAACTCCGAACCCCAACACTGCTATTCCTCCCACTGCAATCGCCACCGTCTTCTGTGTATTCTGCCTGGTCCCTCCACCTATCAAACGCATCATACCCATTAATATCTTTGATTGAACACTCAACCACAATGTATAAATTAACAAACAGAAAACACCAGCTTGGTCCTACCTTCCCAACCTCCTTGATTCTTAAAAAGAAAAATGTAATATTGTTCACTTTTTGAACATTAACAAAAGGAAAACACCAAAACTTTGACCAAGTATACAAATAAAAAAGAACCACATATTCCATCTCTTATTATAAAAAAAAAAAAAAATCTAATTTTTTTTACTTCACTATATGTTAATAAAATATGCTAGAGTCTACATTCGCATAAAAGATTAATGTGAAAAGAAGGTTTCTTTTTTTATTTATTTCTTTATTTTCTTTCTTTTGCTTTAACTTTACCTGCTGTTAATGGTGATGATGAAGTGTTAGGCACACCATTTGGGTAGTAGCTATAACTAATGTAACATTTATGGAGATAAATCTGCACTGCAATCGACTTTCCACAGTCATCTTTAGCTCTTTCTACAGCACTCTTCACACAATCCCCACAATCATTACTTGCCAAATCACCTTCACACTGCCCTAAAACATAAACTTCTTCATATTTCCCAGTGTAAAACGACCCACTATTTTTTACCCCATTCGTTAACACACTGAAGGCCATGTCTCTTTTGTTCTCAAACCCAGTTCCACTCGCCTGAGTTGACCCACATACCTTGTAGATCAACTCGGTCTCAGACACTTGCTTGAACCCAATGATTTCGTACCTAAGATAACACCCGCTGAGTTGAATCCGAGCTGCTATGGATTTTCCACAGAGTTTGTCAACCATGTCTGAGATTTTGCTCACACAAGTGTTGCACTCAGTGACAGCGAGGTCGCCTCTGCATTGGTAGAGTCCCATGATGGCATTTTGGCCGTCACCAGAAGTTGTGGTGGCAAAAGTTTGTTGTGATGATTGTGAAACCAAAGAGGACAAGAGTGTTTTCAGGTTTTGAGAGTAAACCTGTGACGAGTCTTGAAATTTTTGGGATGCACATCCTTTGAAAATCAAGGTGGTGGTGGTGTCTGCAGCAGTTGTAGGATGACAAAAAACCATCAGTGATAATAAGAAAAGCAGAGAAAGAGAAAGGAGAGAAAAGGGTTTTGTGAGTAAAGCCATTCGGGGATGTGAAACGAAATATGTTTTCTGGTTGAGAGTTCACATGATTGGTGAATGGTTTTTGTGTTGCAGGATTTTTCCTTGGGAGTTTCTAGAAATTGGTTTGTTCAGAAAACAGGGGAAGTAAGGAATGGTCTGGTGGGTTTTGATGCATAAGAGTATTGGCTATTCTTAAAGGGGGTTTGGCACTTTGGCCCTTTATGGGTTGCTTTTATGTTTCTAGCTTCTTTTTTAGCCTTTAATTGCTTTCTTCTAATTCAATACTGAACATAAATCATAAATCATAAACGTGTTTTAGTTATTTTGTTTATAATTATCGCTTTTATTTATATAATAGTCCAATTGCAACTAATTGAGAAGTCATGGCTGAGAGTCTGACGGAAACTGGGTAAGGCCTGGGTCAGCCGGTGTAAAACTGTAAAAAGGGGTTCTGAATTCTGATCGGATATGATTTTTGCTGTAGGCTTGGAATACATCAAGTATCAATTTTCATTAGCTTTAACAGCAATTAAAAAAAAAAAAGGTGAAAAAAAAAAAGAAAGAAAGAAAGACTGCATATGCAGTGGTTTGAAAAAGCACATGCAAGGTGGACTGCCTTTGATGAAGTCCTTATTGATCAACGAATATTGGTGAACTGATTTGAAGCGATAACTGGTTATTAAACAGTAACAGTCATGGGAGATTAATTAATGTTAGTTTAAATGTCCTTCTCATTTGCCATTTGTCAGTTGCCAATTCAACAAGTCTTCAAATCCAGCATGTCATATGAAAAGAATGACATATACACGTGGCAGCAGAAGCCTTGAACAACAAAGGAATTTCTAATTCAAGTGCTTTTGTAGACGGTAAGCTTGATGGATCTAGAAACGGTTGGGAACTGCAACCATACATAATAGCAATTCATGTAATTATGCTTTGTGGTAACTTTTATGGAATTTTCAATGCGTTTGTTATGAATTAATTTTCAATTTACGAGATAATAATAATAAATAATTCAAGACATCGTCAATCAGGTTTGATTTCCAAAAGGTAGAAAACTGAAAAATGAATTAATATCTGAACATACCCCTAATTATGTTTAATTTCAATTAGGTTTCATTTATTTAACCTGCGAAATTCTGAAACCAAATTTAATAAAACAATAGATTCAAGTCTAATAAAATCCAAAATAAATAAGATAATTCTTTACTAATTAAACTTCTACCTTTTATTTTTTCACACTTAATAAAACATTAAAGTATTTATAAAATAAATTCAATAAATGAAGGTTGACACATTACTTTTTTTGTTTTTTTTTTTAACTAAAATAATAAATAAATGGTTGGTTCAACTTCAACGTTATTACCAAAGTAAGTAATTTTTTTTTTTTTAATTATAGAAAGTTTTAAGTTTTTTTTTAAATAAATTAAAATTTATTATTATTAAATTACCAAGGCGGTTGTATCCTCTCGTGCTTTGCACGTGTCCGTGGTCTATATAATGGAAAATGTAACGTTAACAGCACGACGCTCAAAATTTCTCACACGGCGGGAAACAGAGAAGAAGCCAAGTATAACTCAAAACCAATCTTTCTCTCCGCAATTGGATTACAGAAATCATCTCGACAATTGGATTACTGAAATTCATCTCCTGAAGGTGAGTTTACACTAATCTTTATATTCTCTTCACCCTTTTTACAAGTTTTTTTGGTCGTTAACTGATCAATTTTACTGTTGAATTTCATTATTCCGTTAGGGTTTATAATTGTGGTTTTTGTAGACGAGTTTTTTTTTTCCACTTTTTTTCTAATTATTGATTGTGGTATTGTTCTTCGTGAAAAAAATATTTATGATTTGTTGATTTGATGAGGACGTGATTCGTGAATGTTTTTTTAGACTTTTTGTGTTGTTTTAGTTGATCAATATTGAGTTGTGATTTGTAAAGTTCTTCTAGGTCTTTATTGACCGATCTGATAAATGTAGAATTAGGTTTCATTAAATTAAATTAAATTGAATTTCAGATATGTTGATAGTATCAGCTGAAGTTTTCAAAAAATTTCCACTTAAAATTAATGATTGATTTTTATGTATTAATACAATTAATGAATTTAGATTGATAAGTGCGAAGATTGGCTCAACGTTAGAGAGTTAAGTCCCTATTCATACAACTTAAATCCTTGTGTTCTTTATTGTTATTGATAATGATAGTTCTAGTGACTTGGATGCTAAACACATTTTGATTTCTCGGCCACAGTTAGTGATTTCATTGTATAAATGGACATAATTTTGTTCAAATAAGTAGATTTTTTTAGCATCTGTTGCAAAGTTTCTACTCCTTTTCTCTTGAGTATACACTGGTCCAGGAGTAAGATTTTGTGTATCAAGAAAAAGAGTTGAACCATGTGTTGCCCTGTTTTGCGAGACTAATCTACTAGTGTTATGAATTCTTTAAGTTTCTTCTTTTGTTTACAGATACAGATTATGACAAGGAACCATGTAAGAATTATATGTCTAGAGATAATTATTAGCGTTAGTTCATTTACTTGATGCAGAATGGATCAAAATGGAACCAGTTATTAATTAGCATGTCGACAATTGAGTCGATACCTAAAGAGAAGAGTGCAATGTACAATTATTGGTTGGTCTAAGGTTTCAAATCACGTTATCTATTTTTATACCATATCTCAATTGTTTAGCTGTTTGCAGTTGGTCTTTTTGTTATATCTTTAACAAAAAGTTTCACTATCTGGCAGGCTTTGGACTATGTTCTGTGAACATTTCCTTGCAGACTAATAACTCCATTCGCCATAAAATTCAGCGCACAACTTAAACCATTTAGTTATGTCTCTCAATATTAAAAGCACATTGGTGAACAGTGAGTTCCTACAACTACAAGAGGCAAATAACTTCATCAAGGCGGCTTACAAGGAACTCATGACAATGGCTTATGAAGCAAAGACTTGGGTTGTTGGAACTCCAGCAGTCGGTTCAGTTGAAGATTTCCTTTCTATATTCCGAAGTTCGCCTCAATCTGGAATGAGAGTTGAGTGTTCCATCGAAAGTGCTTTTCTTCCAATTTCTCCAGGAAACCTGATTACCATCTTAATGGAACCGGTAAGACCATAAGCCTCGCACCATGATACCCTAACTGTCTAGGCCAAATAAGTACAAAATTAGACAGGATTGTTTATCCTGGCATATATTACTGGATTGATTATCCCATTATGAAACAGAAGAAATTAAATGATCATAGAGAATGGTCACCTCTGTTTCCTCATAGTATGGCTTTCTCCATTTTTGTCCATCTGATTGACATCACGGTGTGGATGGGTATGTCCATTTAATTGTGAAATACCTGTAATGAATGTACGTAATACAACATGGTTTTTGTGTGAATGGCTGATAGGACCTTCTGCAATAAAGAAATTTATCATAATCTTTATTATTTGTCACTAAAGGTGATCCAAGCATGTAGGGAAGGGACTCTTTTAAGATAATTTGTTAATTATCTTTGCATATTAAGAGCCTTTAATAGTGCTTGCAAACAAATTTGATGAATTAAAATGTGCATGAATTATGTGCTAATGTAGTCCATATACTTTGAATTCCTTGAACTTGAACCATTTAGATTTGGCTGAAATTTGTGACTGCTTAAAATCCAGTTTCACCTCTTACAGTTCACTGAAACTCATATCAGGAAATGGTCAAACTCCTCATCTTCTTAAAGGTCCAGAGTTTAAACATTTTTTTTTTTTTAAAAAAAAAAAAAAACAATAGCATCACCTTTGTTAACTCTTTGGCTAGCAAGTTTGATGAAAATCGAAACGTGAAATATGAAACAACACTGACCTCTGTCAATGTGATATTATATGTGAATATGGCAAGTGTGTTAGTTTTGATTTTGTACACCAAACAAGAGAAGTTGAGTTTGTAATTTTTTCTTCTTTTTCCCTTTATATTTTCATTGCTGATGTTGTTTTTCCTGAAATATTTTACAGAGTCAGTGGCCTTCAGTTTTGCCTAATATTGTACTTGAAGGATCAAGCCATGCTCCTACTGGTGTTTTCCAGTGGTTGGATGATGATAACTCCAAGACATTCTATGCAATGGTAATCTTTTAAGGACTCATTTTTCGATTGTCACCAATCAGTTCCCCTCCAACCATGTATCACTATTTCTAGGATGAGATAATAATATTGTTATTATGTTCGGGGGCTCTTTTTAGAATTATCTAATCAATCTGATTTGCTGCAATTAGCCCACCTACTGATCCATACAGGTTGGAAGTGATCTTTATCTATATATTTTTAGGTTGATGTCGAATACCATTTACCCTCACCTTTTGTGCCAACAAGGCAATTCCGTTTCTTGAGATGCCTAAAGATGATTCCACCAGGTGTGTGGGTGATTGTTGATTTGTCGGAAGATTATTTCCCTCATACACCTGATTCTCCAATGAAGAATCGAAGGAGGCCTTCTGGGATGATAATCAGGACGCATGACGATTCTTGTGAGGTTAGTGTAACCTTTTCTTTTTTAATTTACATGTAAGATGTTTGCACTTTGAAAATTTGTTTTACTTTTTCAAGGTCTAATCTACTGCATTACTTATCCTTGAATTTTTGAACGTAAACCATTTGCACTTTGGAGTTTTGTTTTACGTTTACAAGGGCTACTTTACTGCATAACTTATTCTTGAATGTTTGTTTTGCCCAATTTGTGAGTTTATTTAACTTGTGCAGGTTATATGGATTGAGAGCGTGGAAGTGGAGACATGTCTAGATCAAAACAATATATTCTCAACTATGGTAAATTCAAACCTGGCATTCTGTGCAAAGCGATGGGTTAGCACATTTCTACAGAGGTTGAAGCGAAGTGTTAGTTCATTTACCAATCTTAAGATACAAGTGGACCACCAAGGTATTCCTTGATTTAGTTCAAGTAGGGTTTTTATATTTCAGGAAGTAGGCAACATTATACAATTTGCAGTATAGATATCTAGTAAGTTTCATTTTTGGAATATTTGTTTACTTCAATATGTGCTATAGCAACCTCAAACTTGATTGATGTACTGTTTACTAGAGGGAGAAAATAGATATAGTTAGCAATCCCTCCTTTTTATTGAAACAAATGGTCGTATTCTGCATAACTCAACTCAATATATGTTGAGAGACCCATTTTTTCTATAACTCACGATCTACTTCTTGCTGTTTAATTGGATAATGATCTGATATTGCCCTGGCTGATCAGGTACTAATTAGGTATGAGTAACTGTGTAATCCGTAAAGTTCCAGTGATTGGATTACATTCTCTTCTCATCTAGTATTTCAATGTTGTTTTTTGTAGCGGATATCATGATAAAATTTTGTAAACTTTTACCATGTTCTTTTTACCTGATTTATATTTTAAAGTTTGTTTTTGTTTACTTATTTTGAAATTGACCTGTGTTTCACATATCTAAATTGCACATATTTACTGTTTACGATTTTTATTGCTTGACTAGAGTTCACTGATTAATCACTTTGTTAACGTAAGGTTCTGGAAGTACTATGCATGGCTGGAGGGTTCATTTTGTTTCTCAGCTTTATATGCATTCTAATTAATGAGTTATACAAAGTATTTCCAAGAATTACGTAATCTTTAACATATTAAAATATACAAAGTAATGTTGGTACTTGATAGTATCAAATGTTAACGGGTAAAAGCATCACTCTTTTTGTGGTTATCATATTGTCTATGACTGTTGGGATATATTAGGTCCTATATTTTGTAAAATTGCGCTGTATTTACTTTGAAATTGCAAAACTTGTGAAACTAATACATATTAAAATTGTGGATTGTGCAGCTCAAGCTATTATGCTGAAATTAACCGACCGCATGGAGATGATCTTTTTTAATTGTGTTAGTGAAGCTCCCAGTGGATATAGATGGGATATTATATCAGACCAAGGGGTGAGGATTTTGAGGGATAAAGCTGTATACAATTCACATGTGCTGGGTTATAATACTTATGTTGGATTGACTAGCTTCCGTGTGCCAGCAAAACCCCTTAGGGTTTTCAATTTTCTGGTCAAAAGGAACCTTGAATTGCTGGTAACTGCAACTTCACAACTCAATAAAATGTTTTGTGTATGTTAAATTTCTGGTTTCATTCTATATAAACAGCTAACAGATGTAATACATGTTGCAGTGGCCTAGTTTGTTAAATGCCAAAGAACCTGAAGAAGTGATTAAGCTTGTGGCAGAAGACAATAACTGTATTACTTTACATAGGAAAGTAGTTCCTCAAAATGAGTCCACAGAGGTGCTAATTTTTCACTTGCTCTCACTGATTCATTCTATTGGTGGGTCATAGTGTAAAAGTTTTGCTCACTTGATAAGTTTTTATACTTGGCAGTGTTATGAATACATGTTACAAGAGGCTTCAAAAGAGGAATTTTGTTCTTTTGTTATCTCATCGCCAATAACTCAATCAGATATTAAAGCTGCTTTTTCCTCTGCAATGATCACTAAATACTTAAAACCATCAGGTTTCGCAATAATGCCTGATGGGTCAAAGGGCCTTGAGTCTGATGCCTCTCTAGTGACTATTGCTGTGCAACAAGATCTTGATGCTGCAGAAAATGGTGGAGCCATTGAAGCCATGAATAATGTCATCATTGCTATGATTAAAGAGATAAATGAAGAAGGTAAACTCTACAAGAAAGCTATATAATTAAAATTTGAACAGATTTGTGTTCTTAGGATATCTCTTGAATTGAATCCGCAAATGAAAGGTTTTGACTCTCAATATGTCAGAGGCTAATATTTTTTGTAGGCAGCTCACTAAACCCTCAGCTCAGTAAGGTTTTAGTTGATTTCTTGGATACAGTCATTTTCACATGGTTATCTTCTTGTGTGATAAAAATGCTAATCTGTAGTCTGATGTTTGTTTTCTCATCTATGTTGTTGCAGTCATGAGCGATGGAAAAACACCAAGTCAAAGTTAGGACTCCATCAATCTTGAAACGAGGCAAAGTCGTTGTATAGTTTTGATGTGCTCAGTTTTGCAGTTCTTATAGTCTCAATTTTACATCATAATACATTGCTAGTTGTACAGTGATGAAACTGTCTAAACAGTTTACATTAGGTTTTGCGGTTGGCTTAGTGATTGGAAGCTTGCTTTACTTATATTGAGGCAAGTTTGATTTACTAGGTGAATTGAAGGCTACATTTTTTTCTGTAATTGCGTTGTTAAGGACAATGGCTATAGCTGTTGTTGGATCTTTTGCTTCAGGTTAGTTAACATTTAATAACATCCCCAAATGATTTTTTATATAATTCAAACTCTTTATTATAAAGAGTTTATCTATAGAAACAAGAGTCTAATAGACTCTTTATTCTTTAAATATAAATTAAAAAGTGAGTTTGACTCTTCACATTTAGTCATTTAGAGTATCTTCAATGGTGTTCTTTATTTTAAAGAGCATATTTTATATAAATAAAAAGCATTTTCATTGATTTTTAAATATAAAAAACAAAATTTTTATTCAAATCCAATGGACTCTTTAAATTTTAAGAGAGAGAATATGTTTTTTCGAGAAAGAAACTTAATAAGAGAGATAAATCATAAATAAAATGTATAGAAACTTAAGATTCTGTTGGACTTTTGTTTTTATGGATAAATTCTTTATAATAAAGAGTTTAGAGCATCTCCAATAGTCTTTTTTATTTTGAAGAGCATCTTTCATATAAATAAAGAGTATTTTCATTAATTTTTAAATATAAAGAACATAATTTTTATTCAAATTTAATAAAGATGTTCTTTATTTTTAAGAAAGAGACTTAATAAGATAGATAATTAATAAATAAAATGCATAGAAACTTGTAGTTTATTAATTAAAATTTGGATAGAGAGTGAAATTTGACTCTCTAAATGTGAAGAGGTAAACTCACTCTCTAATTTATATTTTAAAGATAAAGAGTATGTTGGACTCTTGTTTTTATGGATAGACTCTTTATAATAAAGAGTTTGTGTCATATAAAGAGTCATTTGGAGATGCTCTTATATGACCCAAAACTCTTTATTATAAAGAGTATCCATAAAAATAAGAGTCCAACATACTCTTTATCTTTAAAATATAAATTAGAATGTGAGTTTGACACTCCACATTTAGAGAGTCATTTCACTCTCTATCCTAATTTTAATTAATAAACTACAAGTTTCTATACATTTTATTTATTAATTCTTTCTCCCATTAAGTTAATTTCTTAAAAATAAAGAGTATCTTCATTAAATTTAAGAGTCTATTAGATTTGAATAAAAATTGTGTTCTTTATATTTAAAAATTAATGAAGATGTTATTTATTTATATGAAAGATGCTCTTAAAAATAAAGAGCATCATTAGAAATGCTCTTAGGTCATATAAAGAATCTTTTAAAGATGTTTTTAAATTTCACTCTTTATCATAATTTTAAATAATAAATTACAAATTTTTATACCTTTTATTTATGATTTATCTCTCATATTAAGTTTTTTTAAGAAAAAAACATATTTTTTTTCTTAAAATTTAAAGAGAGTATTAAATTTGAATAAAATTTTTGTTATTTATATTTAAAAATCAATAAAAATACTCTTTTTACCATCGCAAATGTTCTAAATTCGTTGTTTATTTTTTGTTTTTCGGTTTCATCAAATTTTATCTATGGCAGATGAACTGTTTTCCTATTTATAGTTGTTTATCTTTATCTCCAATTGGGTACCTTTTTATGAGATTTGTCTCAATCTCTTATTTTAAAAAATTGATCGCCCCATGTAATGATAAGTATAACTATTCATTAATAAAGTTGCCTTGAGTAGCTCAAGCGAATGGTTAATTTATTAACTCGGTAGCATAATTAAGGTTGGTGCGCTTTTATACACCTTTGCATTCTCGTTCTTCTAAGCAGCACTTTTTTTTTTAAATTTTAAAAATCAAATATTGAATTCAGTATTACTTTCATATATTGAAAATAAAATACACATAAATCATTATGTATATTTAGTTGATTAAATATTGGATTAGATAAAAGGGTGGTGTTATTTAAGTCCTATTAGATGCCTTAGTTAAACCCCATTTTAAATTAATTTTATTAAAAAATTTGATTTAAAAATATCAAAAGGGTCCAGAAAATATCAATGGACGACCGTCCATATAATTTATACTCAAATAATTTTTTTTTAAATTTATAATTTTTTTTTAATTTATAAAAACCTATAGTTTGCCTGAGAAGCTTTTACAAATAAACATCAAAATTTTTAGATGAAATATTAATTTTTAAAGCACAAAATTTTTAGATGAAATAAAGGAAAACAAAAAACTTTGATTTTTAAAGTACAAAGTATGGTCGCTAGTCAATGAGATGGACTCGCGTCCATACTCAAATATATATATTTTTTCATTTATAAAAAAATGCAAAGCAAGAAATAAATGAAGAACTAGATAAAAAGTACTCACAATGTAGTGTTGGAGTCCAGGACAGCGACGATGAATACGAAGAATGGTAGCAGGTGGAGATGAAGAAGATGAAGAACAACAGCAGATGGAGACGAAAAGACGAAGAACGACGGCAGAAGGCTTTTGTTTTTTAAAACTTGTTTTGGGAGCCCTAAATTTTTAAACATTCTAATTGAAAATTTTAAAGAAATTTTTGTATTAAAGTAGGATTTAGGTATGAACGGCCGTCCATTATTTGTTTTTAAACTTTTATGGATGGACATCCATCCTATATGGACGGAAGTCTATTCGTGATGAACGGTCATTCATAACTTATGGACGGTCATCCGTATAACATGAACGATCGTCCATTCACAAAATCATTATTTTTTGTCCAACGTGACCATGTCTTAGTGGATATCGCATCATTCGATAAAAAATTTCGGTGCACAAACTCGGTGTCTGTACCATTATAGCTTTCAAATATTTCATCGATTTCAAAATAATAATGAAAACACGCGAGAAATCTTTCTCTAAACCGAAGTCTCTCACACTCACTCACAAACCCTTACAATGAAAAATCCCCCATATCAAACTATAAAGACATAACAAAATATACAAGAAAATCAAAGTTGAAACCCACCTTCCCCCCACCACTTTTCCTTCCATTCTCCTTACCCGTTAGCAACCCATCGCTCACCCAAACCCCACCTTCACAAGCCGCCGCCGTACCTTCAAGTGCGGCCATGACGACGACTTGGAGCAAGGGCACCGTCGCGGCTTCAAACGATGCGAAGGCAAGGACTTCAAGCCATGGATGGTGGATGATGATTATGACGGTGGATAGAGTCTATACTAACAAAAACCCATTTTTTGCATTTTGAAACCCGTCGTCCATATAATTTATACTCAAATAATTTTTTTTTTTTAAATTTATAAAAACTTATAGCTTGTTTAAGAAGCTTCTATAAATAAGCATCAAAATGTTTAGATGAAATATTCATTTTTAAAACACAAAATTTTTAGATGACATAAAGGAAAACAAAAAACTTTGATTTTTAACGTATAAAGTATGGATGCTAGTCCATGGCCGTATTTGTTTTCATTTATAAAAAAATGCAAAGCAAGAGAGAAATGAAGAACTAGATAAAAAGTACTCACAATGTAGTATTGGAGTCTAGGATAGCAATAGTGAATACGAAGAATGGTAGCAGATGGAGACGAAGAAGATGAAGAACGATAGCAAATGGAGACGAAGAAGACAAAGAACGGCGATAGAAGGCTTTTGTTTTTTAAAACTTGTTTTGGAAGCTCTAAATTTCCAAACATTCTAATTGAAAATTTTAAAGAATTTTTTGTATTAAACTAGAATTTAGGTATAGTTTGTTTTTAAACTTTTATAGATCCATATTATATGAATAAGAGTCTGTTGATATTATTATCATAAAGGATCGATTATTGGTGATGATGAATGACCGTCCGCATAACATGAATGGTCATCCATTTACGGAATCAGTATGTTTTGTCCAACGTGATCATGTCCTAGATGCCAAGTCATTCGGTAACAAATTTTGGTGCACAACTTCTGTAGCATTACTGCTTTCATCGATTTGAAAATAATAATGAAAACACGCAAGAAATGTTTCTCTAAACCGAAGTCTCTCCACACTCACTCTGCCTCTCACACTCACTCACAAACCCTACAATGAAAAACCCAATATTAACTATAGACATAACAAAAAATACAAGAAATCAAGTTGAAACCCACCTTCCCCAACCACTTTTCCTTCCACCTCCTTACCCCTTAGCAACCCATCGCTCACCCAAACCCCACCTTCAAACCGCCCCGTACCTTCAACGAGGCCACGACGACGACTTGGAGCAAGGGCACCGTCGCGGCTTCAAACGATGCGAAGGCAACGCTTCAAGCCATGGATGTGGATGATGATTGTGACGGTGGATAGAGTCTATACTAACAAAAACCCTTTTTTTGCATTTTGAACCCGTCGTTTGGTTCAGTGCTCTATTCCACACGCACACTCTGAAAGTACGGAAAATGCAGGTTCGTTTTTGTCTTCGAAAACACTAATGCGTTTTTCACTTGTTGTGTTCAAGCTTTTGTGCAAGGAATGTTTTTCCTTTTTGGAGTTTGGAAACACTTTCTGCTGCGATTGTTGCTGAAACAGAACTTTTCCATCTGTTTGTTAGCTTCTGTCTTGTTTTAGGTTTTTTAATGGATTGCTGCATTTGCTCATTCCGTGATAGTCTCCATTTTGTTTCCGAGAGAAAACTTGTGTTGTATTTTACGGTTGGCGAGTATCTTCTTCGGTCATAGAGACTGACAAAGAGTTCAGTGCTAGGTTTTTTTTTTTTTTTTGTTATTTGGGTGGCTTGGAAGTATTACCTCTGATGATTCGGATTTTTATTAAGATACAAAGATTTAATTTTTTTTAAAATATTTCTGGCTGACAAGAGAAACTTTCGTGTTTAATTTTCTTAGTATCTATTTTTGGGTGATTTTCAGGTTGTGCTAGTTGAATCAATCTTCAAGAACTTGGCTTGGTAAGATTACTTCAATTCGGTTCTCAGTTGACTGCATTTATATAATCTTTGTTATTGAAGGGTTGCGATTTTTATTCTTGGAAATTATTTTCATGTAGAATATATTTTGGAAAAAAAAATTCATAGAATTTCTTGTATTTTTGACAAGATGTTAAAATATTTTTGCTCTTAAGGAAACTATATGCATGTATTTATATATATTTCGGTACTTCATAATAAAATAATAAAAATTAATCTTGCCTTTGTGAGTGAATTGTGAGAATTTGATTTCGTTTGAAATTTCCTGTTCGTAGCTTTTTATTATTTTAAAATTGTTTGACTTCCTGGCATGGGAATATGTAGGTACACTTGGTACTTATAGTAGGGACAACTTGTTCTTAATCTATTATGGCACCTGATCCTAGAGTTTTGAAGGCTTTCAAGGCTATGAAGGCCATTGGAATCAGTGAAAATAAAGCCAAACCTGTATTACAGAAACTACTGAAACTGTATGAGAAAAATTGGAAACTCATTGAAGAAGAGAATTATAGAGCACTTGCTGATGCTATTTTTGAGGAGGAGGATGCTGAGGTTCATCTTCCCGTCTTTGCCAAATGTGGTTTTGTTTGTGATGTTTATCTCCTCCTTTCTTGTCCTATTTCCTCTAACTTTCTTTCTTATGTTCTAATATAATCTGTCAGGTTTCCGAACAGAAGAAAGCTAAAATTGTTGAAGTATGCAACCTAGTTCTGTTGCTTTCACTGGGTTTATATTCTAGTTTCTGTTTTGATCCCTGTGATTTTTTTCTGCTGACATGCTTTTCTTTTTTATTATTTTGACTAGCAAGGAGAAAATTTTGAGGAAGAACCTCTTGCTGATGTTGAGCCTTTACGGCCCTTAAAGCGTTTGCGTAGAGGCCTAGAAGTGCCGGCTACACCACCTCTCAGCAACTCCAGCCCAGTGTCAGGGGGAGCTTTATTAAGAAGGCCAAAATTGGCAGAGGGTGAACTACCTTCCACTTCTATGCAACGGCAGTCTCAAGACAAGACAAAGGCCCTACAACTCAGCACTGGAAATGTAGGGGCTGACACTCCGTGCCTTACTTACAAAGGAAAGGAACCTGTCTTGCCTATAATTTCTTCTGCAGAGAACAGATCTATTTCTGGAGCATCTCATGGAGTGCTCATTAGAGATTCCACAGTTGGGTCGGGAAATGTACTTTTGCCTAAGAAGGTGTCCAATTCTCAAGCATTGATCAAACCCAAAGATGAGCCATATACTGATGACATGTTTACTGATGACAGATCACAGTATGAAGTTCCCATTGCCGTGATCCATCCAGGTACTTTTGATACTTGTATTTTTTTCTACTATCTTTTTGCTATATGTTTCTTTTTTATTAGTTTCTACATCTAATTGAACCTTTGTATTAGAATTGGCATTTAATTTATTTCTCAGTAGGTGCTCTCCATTTAATTATACAGTTATGTTCCCTTTGAGTTGGGGTTACTTGAGCTTCTAGGATGCAGCTCTGCATCTGCTAGCAATAGCATATATGTGCATGCTGATCTAATATTAGTATTTTGTCAATTAAACTAATGTTGTGGATTATATGTAGGAAAGAAAATAACGTGTTTGAACATTTTATGACTCCTACTACAATATTTATGCCTTGAGATCCATATATACTTAGTGATGGTTTGGCTGATAGTTATTTTGTTATTCATCATGCTCTTTTCCATCCGAAACTATGAATTTTATATACAGATTCTAAATGATGCTTTTCTCACATCTAGATTTTGGTTTTCTGTTTAATTTCACATGTTCATTAGGCATAAGAGGTTCATCTGCTGGAAATGTTTCAATGGATGAGCCAGTTGGGCAGGAGCCTCACCCATCCCAACATGTTGGGGGAGAATATAGAAGTAGTGGGCCACAAGCTTTGTTGACTAAGAGAAGCTCCAATTGTGAGCTTGCTAATGTTCCTGAAGGATCTCACCCTTCCTTAGAGATTGCATCTTCGACCTTGGGAGAGGTGAAGATTTCTCTAACCTGCAATTCTGCTGTTGGAAGTCCAAATTTTCATAAGCCTACTCTAGATGAACTAAGAGAATTGATGGAACAGAGGTGTCTTCGATCATATAAGATCATTGACCCAAATTTTTCTTTCATGAATGTGATGAAAGATTTGTGTGAGTGCTACAGGGAATTGGTAACTAATTCATCTCGTGAATCGCAGGAAAGGGTAAGTGTGATGCCATCTCTTGATCTATTGAGGAAATCTAGTGCTCGGGATGCTCTTCTTTCTGGGGGTAGTGAAGAAAATATTTTCATGTCATCTTCTATGAATGGTACTGCTGAAAGAGATGAGAAACAGGAACTAAAAGACTGCGAATTTATTAACTCATCTAGTTTGGCTGTAGTTCCGCAGTGTCAATTAAATGCTGATGAATTGAGGGTTTTAAATGATGTTAAAGACATTGCTAAAGGACAAGAAGGAGTTGTAATTCCTTGGATTAATGAAATTAACAATGAGCGTCTATTGCCATTCCACTATATATCCCAAAATTTGGTGTTCCAAAATGCTTGTGTGAATGTCTCTCTTTATCGGATTGGTGATGAGAATTGTTGTTCCTCTTGTTTTGGTGATTGTCTATCATCAGCAGTAGCTTGTGCTTGTGCACGCCAAAGTGGGAAGTATGTTTACACTTCAGAAGGCCTTCTAGAGAAAGAGTTCTTAGATGAGTATATCTCAATGACCCGGGATCCTCAACAACAATGCCTCTTGAATTGTAGATGTTGCCCGCTTGAAAGATCAAGAAATGAAGGTGTTATAGAACCATGTAAGGGTCACATTCAGAGAAATATTATAAAGGAATGTTGGAGCAAATGTGGCTGTTACAGGCAGTGTGGCAATCGTGTGGTGCAGCGTGGCATAAATTGCAAACTTCAGGTTTTATCCCCCTCTTCTCAAAGTTTTGCCCCTTGGTTTTATGTCTAACACTAGTAATAGCTAATTTATTGAAAATGTTTCATGAATTGTTCATTATATGGTTCTCTTCAAATTGGAGTAATAATGACACTCATCACCATTTACTTATTCTTATGGATATCCTTTAGTTACATGTGTATTTAATGACTGATTTCTTTTACATGTTAGGTGTTTTTTACTCCTGACGGAAAGGGTTGGGGGCTTAGAACTCTAGAGAAGCTGCAAAAAGGTGCTTTTGTATGTGAGTTTGTCGGAGAAATTGTAACCATCAAAGAGTTGTATGGGAGGAACACCAAGAACCTTAACTGTTCGGTTCTACTGGATGCATATTGGGCTTCAAAAGGAGTTCCAAAAGATGAAGAAGCTCTTTGTTTGGATGCCACATGCTATGGAAACGTTGCCAGGTTCTTAAATCATAGGTAATTGTCCAAATATTACTAATGTTGTGTGTAACTTTCACAGATTTCTTCCTATTCCAAATGCATATCATAAAAATATATACTCTGTGGATTTAGTTTTTGGAGCATCTGATGAGTTATTTATTTATTTAATTTTTTGTGTTTGTAGATGCTTTGATGCAAACTTGATCGAGATTCCAGTTGAAATCGAGAGTCCTGAGCATCATTACTATCATGTAAAGCATATTAGAAGCTCCATCTTCATGGTTATTGTTTTGTCTTTTGTTACTGATACTGGTTTCACTGATACAGTGACTCTAAGTAGTGTATTCACCTGTCATGCAGCTTGCGTTTTTCACAACAAGAGACGTGGATGCATTTGAAGAGCTAACCTGGGTGAGGAGGCTTGTTTTTATAGATTTTAGTTGATAGTTGTTGGGTAAAGACTTTAAATTTAAAGGCTATGTAGTTGTTCATGTAGAATTGTGCCTATCATTCTTTTTGTGGTGTGCTTCTTATTGCATTTGAATGAGGAACAATTGTTTGCCTTGGCCATCATGTAGAAGTGTTAATAAATGTTTTATTAAGACTAAAAGGAACAATGAATGAAACAATATATTCTATGTTTTTGGTGAAAGAGGGACCTCCTATTCTCCCTTAATATAAGCTTGTGCACCTACCCCAATTGAGAAACCAGAAATAGAAGAAAGAGTAAAACTGACCTGTTGCAAACTTTTTTGAAACATCTTCTGGCTATATATTATATGTATATTGTTCCTGGACAGGCGATCCATATATCTTTTTGGTGCATAAGCACGTGTGCACTCATAATTTTTTACTTACATTGTTACAGCTCTGTTTCCCTTTCTTCACGTCAATCTATGTAGCACTTACCCTTTTTTATATTGTATAAGTTTCTCTCTGAGATTTTTATTTGCCCTATATTAAGAAGCCTGAAAGAATATGTTTGCAGGATTATGGTATTGATTTTGATGACCATGATCATCTCGCGAATGCATTCCTGTGTCGATGTGGCAGTAAGTTCTGCAGGAACATGAAACGTTCAAGTAGTAAGTACTTTAGCATAAATTTGGTAGTTCTGTGTGAATTATTCATTAAGTTTTCTGTTGTTTATTCCTTGTGAATGATATAAACTTCTAGTTTGCATTGCTATTGTGTGACTGACTAGTTTGTATGTATTCACTTTCAGTTTCTGCAAGGTTGTTTTTTTGCACTAGCTAGTTCACACATGGTAATGCAAACTAGCTAGTTTGTATGAAAAAATACTACTAGATGGATCCATCTTGAATTTGGCTTCTAGTTCTAAGTTCTAAATAAGACCTCAGTAAGTAACCTTGTAAGTCCCATTTGGATTTGAATAATTCTATTTTTTTCTTCCCCTTTGGCATTTTGGTCAAGATTTTGAATAGATTTGGGTGTGCCAGGTGATGCCTGCATGCTGTTTTTCTTGATCCAAATGAATCATCTTGTCCATGGAGTCAATCTTTGTCTGCTAGCTAGGCAAGAGGATAGCATGTTAAAAATTCTGTTTGTGGAATTCGGATGAGTGCATTTGGTTGGGATGTTTGTATTCTGGAAAAACATTCTATTCTCTTTTGTTGTATATTGTGGTTTGAACAAGATATGTAAGAGAGTTTGAGGGGTTGAATGACAAGTTAAGTCTTGTTGCTTGGTTTTGGTAACCTGTGATACTCCCAGTAAAAGCACTGTATTTTTCAGAGAGATTTAGCTTGTTGATGTTCATCAATTAAGGTTTTCTTAGTGCCTCACTCACCTCAGCGATCTTTTGATTATTGACATGAATTTCTTCTGTCAAATTTACATGAGCATGCGGTTGTTTAGTGCATTAATATACTACGCAATAGCATGATTAGATTAAGATTTACGAACTATGATTTAATTAAGCCAATCTTAGTAACTTCTTTTTTGTACTCGGTTTCTCTTTTATATTAGTGATTGTGTTTTTGTGGTGCAGGATCCAAAGCCATGCTGAATACAAGATGAGCTGGCTTGTGGGGCATTAAATTGTAGAAATTTTAAAACGCTGTAGATTAATCTCTTCCTTGATGAAGAAAGGAGATGAAGTGGATTTTAGTTTGGCTACACCACTGTCCTGTTGAATTTGCCAAGTAGGATTATTAATGGAAGCTGGGGGTAGTTCTTTTTGAAATGGTTTTTTGTGTAGGGCTATGTTGACCATTTTTGGCCCATGTATATTGACGGTAGTGGCAAACTTGACCTGCAGGCATTTCTTGTTGACAAATACTCTGGGCAAAAGTTTGACTGCTGTAATTTGGTAAAACTAAACTTCTCTTAGCTTCTGTTATTGACAAATATTGCTGTGTCGCACCATGGTTTGTAATCTAATATGCAGTAGCCGGTAAAATATATACTGTTTTAGGGTTGTCGCTAACCACACATCTTTATTATACTCGAGTTTAAGTGGGTGTTCATAGACCCATTTGTTTAGATTAGTGTTTTAAAACCCAGCACGACCCGGCCGGTTTAACATGTTTAATCGGGGTCCGGGAGCTTCACTGGGTTGGGTTAACAATTTTTCTATTCACCCAAAACCTTAGAATTTGGGACGATGATCGACGAACAATTGAAGGTCGGGATGTTGAGGCTTTTAAAGAGAAAGCATTGGTGAGTGCAGTGGTGGCAACGAAGTTGATTTCTGGTGAGTGAATCGACCGGAAATCGAAAAAAAAAAAAAGCAGCAACAATAATTGGCTTTTTTCAGCAATTGGTGAGGCTAACGGGGATGGGGTGAGGTGGGTTTTTGTCGGGAGAAAATGATTCGGGGTACTGGGTAGGGTTGTTGACGTCGGCGTTGGTGAGATCTGGCCTGGAATGTCGACGTCAGCGTTGGTGTTTGATTTCCACCAGATCTTGGGTAGATTTTCTGGAGAATGGGCTCAAGAGATGATTGAGATTGCATTTGGGGTGTCGTTGCTGCCAACCGATTTGTATTTGGGGTGTGTGTGCTAAATTTTAAACTTGTAGGGACTTATAGTAATGTTCAAGGGTGTATTTGTTGAATTTTAAAAGTTTTGTCACCTGGTTTGATCGGCCAGTCAAACCGGTCAACCTAGGATTTTCCAACTTTGTTAGGTTTCAACCCTGATTGATTTATAAAACATTGGTTTAGATGTTGATGACAGTCTTCTCCGATAGTATCCAAGTTTTATATTTTTTCCTTGTCTCTGGCTTGACTACTGTTAAATGTCTCAATTGAACTCTAAATCGCGTCCCCTTGTGTTCTGCTATTGAAATCATGGTATGTATAAGTATAACCATTCAAATAATGTAAGAGCGAATGAAAATGAAGATTACTAGTTCGGGATATTCAGTAAAAAAATTTGTTATTCAACTGAGGATTTCTGGAGGTCATACTCAGAGTCAGGTATCGTTGACGATTCATTCCATCTTCTGCTTGTTAGAAGTATCAGGCGTTCTCCTGTAACTTGGATGTTGTGTGTAATCTGCCAGCATTTGCCTATTTGTTTATGCTTGTATTTCAAAGTTGTACGAGAATTGGTTAACTTGACTTCTTATTTTGAGTTGAGAGTTTGATTTTCACCATATTATGAAGAAGAGAGTGCAGTGTGATGGCAATACGAGAAAGATATACAGATATTCGACTTTCATAATATTCTTATGTAATGTAACTCATTTTGAAGGCCCCTAAGAAACATTAACGTGCATGTTATTATCAACTGATGACAGGGATTCTCTGTTGTGAGGTCTGGAGAGAAGTTGGTGCTCGCATCCTGATGGCATCGCTGGTCGAATGCCTCCTGGATTCAGGGGAAAAAGTATTTTGTAATAACCATCCATAATCTCCATAAAATTGCACGTGGCTGCAACCTTAGGCATCTGAACAAAATGAACAACAGCATCACTACCAGTATTCAAAAAAACATGAAGCTAAAGCAAATTCGTAACTTATTACTTGTATTTACCAAAATGAACTCTCCCTACGAGCTGGTATGAATGAAACTATTTGACCGAAACAGATTAAAGTGCTTTCTTATAATGAAAAAGAACCCGGAAAACAAATTTTGGATGCAAAAAGCAGTTGAAGAGTGTGCCGGAGAAACATATGACAAAGAACGCTTCAGGTATTTTTCATAAGAATGTTTACTGACAACTTCCCAAGGCACTGCACCCCAGTTGAAGAGCAAGTAGAATTAAAAACACAACACTTCTCACTGACTCTCTAAACACAGCCAAGACAAACACTGAACAAAACCATTATGGTATTACCTGATAAATGTCACGCATGTACCCATGAAGATTGGGATACTCAATCAGCTTCTTCTTTGTGCATTTAAACAACACATTATACACAACATCAAACCGAATCAATGTAGTAAACAGACAAACATCCGCAAGAGTCAGTGTTTCTCCACACAAATAACGGGAACCACCCAAGTGATCATTAATCGTCTCCAATGTGTTAAACACATCATTCACTGCCCTATCATATGCCTCCTGACTTTGTGCAAACCCACATCTACAACATCAATCAATAACCAAAATTAGACCAATTAATTTTTCCTCATAATACAGACACATTCAAAGAAATTAATCACCTGTAAACTCCATTATTGACATTGGGGTAAATGAGTTTATTCCACTCTTCAATCTTTCCCTTAAATTCACCTGGTGCAAGATCCAAACTTGGATTACGGGACTTCTCATTTAACCCCGAGTTGAAAATCTGAATTATATCGTAACTCTCATTACAAGCCACATCCTTTTTAACAACGTCCCATAGCATAGGCACAGTGGCCCTTCCAGTGTACCCTCCTATCCTTAACTTATAAACTTCCTTCAAATTCTTACACCCGTTTACGTTATCCACACCCGGAACGAGAATATCTGTACCCCGGCCACGGATAGCTTTAAATTCCCAGGAACCGTCTTGGCCCGGCGACGCAATCGATACTGGAACGGCGTCCTCGAGGCCTTTCAGAGCTCGAACTATCAGGGTCCGGTGGGCCCAGGGGCAGGGCAAGCCTACATAGAGGTGGAGGTTGGTGGTGGCCGGTGGGTTCTTCTGGAGGGAGAATTTGGAGGCGGGTCTGGTGTAGTTGCCGGAGGAATCAGAAGGGGCTAGCTGTGACATCATGAGTTGCCACGTGGAGTTCCATGCGGTACGAACAGTTGAGATAAGGAGTCCCGGGGGGAGGGATGGCCCCCACAGGAGCTTGGTAACGTTTTTGAGAAGTGTGGTGCCGGGGTTTGAAGAAGAAGAAGAAGGTGAAGGTGGTTGATCAAGGGACATTCTGGGGCGGACGTGGCATGATCCCAGGTGGGTTTTACCTTTGTTTCTTCTGGTTTTATAGGGTGAGAATATATGGAGCTGAGAAGTGAGTGGTGAAGGAGAGAAAGACATTACCGTCTCCATTTGCGTCTGTTTAAGTGAACAAAAACGGTGCGTGTAAAGCATTTTAAAGAAAGTTGAGGTTAAACGGCGTCGTGTGGCTTAAATTCAGTTATCAAGTTTATTTTCGTCCTTGTATCCAAACACTCGGAAACCCTCCTAAAAAACAAACCCTACACATATATAAAGCATTTGTTTCTGCCTCAGTCAAGAATCACAGACAGCGTGCCGATCGACCATGTCGAAGCGAGGTTCAATGTTCATTAAATTTAATTTCTCTGCTACTAAATGCTTTAGCTAGCTATTAAAAGCTAATTTATGTATTGCGTCATTTAATTTGTGATAGGAAGGGGAGGATCGGCTGGGAACAAGTTCAGGATGTCGCTGGGTCTCCCAGTGGCAGCTACTGTGAACTGCGCAGACAACACGGGAGCCAAGAATCTCTACATAATATCAGTCAAAGGAATCAAAGGACGCCTGAACAGATTGCCGTCTGCCTGCGTCGGCGACATGGTAATGGCCACCGTCAAGAAAGGAAAGCCCGATCTCAGGAAGAAAGTTATGCCAGCTGTCATCGTCCGCCAACGCAAACCCTGGCGCCGAAAGGACGGCGTCTACATGTACTTTGAAGGTTCAATTTCATACAGAATTTAATTTTAGTTCATTTAATGACGTTTAAACTGTTGAGTTGGTTTCTTTCATTAATTCTGAGGAAGCATACATAAATAAATAAATAAGTTATTTTCAGTATTAAACAGCATGATGTTGCTTTCTGTCTCCTGGTAAATTTTATTTACTATTTACAAACAGTTTGGTTTGAAGAAAGAGATTTCTGTTTGTGCCTTGTTGTTTGATGCTGTGCTATGATTATGTGTTTAGATTATGAATGTTAGCTTCTGTCAATTTGCAGATAACGCGGGTGTGATCGTCAACCCTAAGGGAGAAATGAAAGGTAACTATTTTATTAATTAATTCTTGAATTGTGATTGGTTAATATCAAAGTGACTTATAATTTGGTTTGCTAATAGGATCTGCTATAACTGGGCCGATTGGAAAGGAGTGTGCTGATCTGTGGCCAAGAATCGCAAGTGCTGCCAATGCTATTGTCTGAGCTTGAATTTCAACTCATTTTCTGTTGTTAGTAAATTGTTTTTTGTTTGGAAGAGAATTTTGGTTTATGTTTTTGAAACTATTAATTCTGATTTTCATTTTGTTTAGCTATACTTGTTATAGAATGTGGTGCTGAGGATTAATTTTCTAACTGTCACTGCTGCTTTGCTTTTTACCTTATAACCGGTGTAAAAGTTATAGGGAAATACTTCTTCATCTCTCAACTCCAATTTTGAGTTTATTTTTCCAGAATTCAAATATAATGTCACACTCTCCCAAAAAGCCCCCAGAGTCGCGATGCCGCCCGTACTGGAGTTGGTTAACTCTCTTCTGCAACAGTTGTGGTTATTGTCTTGAGCAAGTTCATTTGAATGCTCGTCGGTAATCTAATCCTGGTATATGGACTAAATTGAATGTAATATAATCAACATCTCTGCACAGGAGATACAATGCAAATGCTGCACCTATGGTATAGCAAAATTACCTTTTATAATATTTTTGAATGGTTGATGCAGTCAAAAGAACAATTTTTAACGGCCAATCTAGTAACTTGGGGCAGATTAACAGGATGATGAGTGAAATAGATGTTCCCAAATTTATATTTTAGTATTTAATTATCTCAATCCGTAAAGTTTCTGAAGCTTCTTAGAAGTTAGTAATATGATAGGTGGTGACTAATTGATCCTTTTTTCAACTTTCCAGCAAAACTCCCCAAAACCAAATAGGTTCTTTCTGTTTTTGGTTCAATCCAAGCTTAGTATTTGTTCTTCTTTTAATATCTTTCAATCCAAGCTAAGTATTTGTTCTTCTTTTAATAACTTTCAATCCAAGCCAAGTATTTGTTCTCCATTTGCTAATTTTAATTGAGCTGAAGTGGGTTGCTTGAGCTTGATTGATGTTCCAGATTTGGTGTACGGAGAATTTCAATAGAAGTTTTGTCGTTTTTGTCTTTGATCAGTATGGAAAATTGCTACGAGTGAAAAGCGTAAAGCCGTAAATTAAAACGTAACAATTATTCCTTCTAACTTACAAAGATTATATGAGCGATACCTCAAAAACATTCTTCTAAATGTAACTACTACTCTTTTACAATAACAGCTTGCTATGGCAATCTACAAGGAGCCCATCCCCCGCCCCATGAGGGCCAGGGTCATCCGCATTCCTGCTGAGGTACCTCCTGCACCAAGTGACCTTACTGTAATCCCAGCAACAACCCCTTTGCGGCTTGATGAAAATACTTTTAAAGCATGTAAGTGGTTAACAACGCATAAGTATTTCCAGGTTTTCCATCAGTTGTGTGCTATCACACTGGCTACTAATTAGCTGTTAACATTTGATGTCAATTTGATAATTATACCAAAATCGTAGCGGTATTCAAAGGTGATTGGAAGAATGCTAGAAATTTTATATCGAGTGATGGCAATTTACTGAAAACGCCCATCTCTGTTCACTCAAGAATCGCACTCCATGTTGCTGCTTGTGAAGGATACTGGGAATTTTTGGAAGAGTTGGTGAAAATTATGCCTGAAAAGGATCTTGAACTGTCAGATGCCTTGGGTTGCACGGCACTTCACTATGCAGCAGTTGGTGGAAGCATCAGGGCATGCAAGGCATTAGTGAGAAGGAACCACAATCTCACACAACTTACCAGCAACTATGGGTGGACTCCACTCCTCTCAGCTGCTCAGTGTGCTCCCAAAGATAAGGACGTCGTATGCTACTTATCTTCAGTAACTACTGATGACTCTCCTGGCCATCCATTTTCTGGCAATTTGGCTGGTATCCTCGCCTGTTCACTAGCTGCTGGAGGTTTTCACGGTAATGGCCAATCATGTCGAGTTCATTGATTGCTTTTGAATTTATTTGGTTACTTATCAATTACATGTATTACTCCAACAGATATTCTTCTATACTTAATTCGTAAATACCCTGGCTTAGCTACTGCTAAAGATGATGATGGGCGTAATATACTGGATGCATTGGCTTTAAGGCCTTGGGACTTTCAGAGTGGAAGTAATCTTGGATTTTGGAAAAAATGGATCTACAATTGTTAGCGCTCTCTCATTATTAGTATTATAACTTTTAAATTTTCTTCTTCTTCTCAAGTATAATTTTCTTTCCGTATCTTGTTTAAGTTGTTCCTGTGAAATTCAAACTAACAACACCAAGGTCAGAAAGAGTTGGCGTGTACCATTTCCCTGTATCTTCAACAACCTATCGAGGTTCGGAAATTCTGTATTGCTTCTGTAATATGTATTCATTTGGTATCAAATGGGTTACAAATTATGGGAAAATTAAGATCCTTATCGGATGAAATTTTGCTTCAATATGTTGTACTCTGTTCTGTAGTTGATGATTGTTTCTCTTCCTAGGACTATAACAAGGTGGTTTTTAAGATTTGAATTGTAATGCCACAGAATACCAGTTATATACAATTTTCTTTCATAAACCAGACATTAATAGAATAGATGACTTTATGTGTTTAAATTAAGTCCTTCTTAGTAATGATTTTTTCAACAATGTCTGAATTCCCTTTTTTTTTTTTTTTTTGGTTGCAGTGGTAGGATGGCCTGAAAAATTACTTTGGAATTGCATCGGACTATTGGGTACCCAATGCTAAACTCCCTGGCATTATACATGTGATTAGCTTATTTAATTGCTCATGCATTTATTTTCCTTGCAGCACCTGGTATCAAAGAAGTTCATGATGCAAAGTTAACACATAAATTTGCCCTCGAGTTGGTCAAAAGTGTGGTTGTAGCTTTTTCACCTTTGAGTGATTCACAGATCTACGAATTTTTCTTGCAGTCAGACATAATAACCAAAGCAGCGAGTTCTGGCATCGTTGAAATTGTAAAGATATGTCTTCAAATGGTCCCAGATATATTTTGGCTTTCAACTGATCAACAAACCTTGTTGAAAGTTGCTGTTCAATACCGGCAAGAAAAGATTTTGACTCTTGTGCATAATACGGTTGTATACAATAAGTTCACATCTCCCAAACCAATTGATGAATTTAAAAACAGCATCTTGCATCTGGCAGCTCGGTTGGCACCACCCCATTATCTCAGAGTTGTGTCTGGTGCAGCTCTTCAAATGCAAAGGGAGGTTCAGTGGTTTAAGGTGACAGCTCCTGTTAAATCAACTTACCATGTTGCTTATTTGACCAATTACTAGTATATCTTAACAGTAACAATATGGCCTTGTAGGAGGTGGAGAAATTAGTGCACCCTTTTCTTAAGGAAATGCCAAACTCTGATGGAAAAACAGCTCAGGTTGTATTCACAGAGCAGCACAAAGCAATGGATGAAAAATACATCAAATTCTTGCATGGTTGTCACCGCGCTCATTGCTACAGTAATGTTTGCAGCAATTTTTACCATTCCTGGAGGCGTCGATCAGGATGATGGCATCCCAATATTCTTCAATGACAAGTTATTTATGGTGTTCGCCATATCAGATGCATTAGGCCTAATTTTGTCTTCCACTTCCTTATTGATCTTTTTGTCTATCCAAACAGCACGTTATGCAGAAGAAGATTTTCTAGAGTCGCTGCCTAAAAGATTGATAACTGGTCTTGCTTCTCTCTTCTTGGCTATAGCAAACATGATGATAGCTTTTGCTGCAGCTTTTGCAGTTGCATTACGCGAGACATCAATATGGGTTGCAATTGCAGTTCCCTTCGTGGCTTCTCTACCGGTGACTATATATGCATTTCTACAAGTACCATTGTTTGTCCAAATGTATCACTCTACATATGGATCTGGCATCTTTCAACCCAGAAAAAAATATCACTTTTTGCGTCGCTATGTAATTTGAGCTCTTTATTGTTGATTCTTCATTCATTTATGATGCTATCTTTTACATTCGTGTTCAGGATGTACTAAAAATACAGAGTTTGACATTGTTTAACAATTGAACTTTATCTATGTGATCCCATTTGTCTTTGCAAATTTGGAAAAAAAACAAGCATTTACCTAGTTTGTATGTTAAATTTAATGACACCTTAACAACATTGACATTTTTAACATAGAATTCATTGTGAAACAAGATAGAAAATGAGTTAGAAATAGAAGGAACGGTGCAAGAGTGACATTTTGCATATTTATCTTAGTTGACTTTTTTTGATACCATTTTAATGGCAAGGAGTATTTCATAAGTCATACTTTACCTAAAGAGGAGTGGTGTCGCTTGTCAATTGCCAATCTCGCAAGGGGATGTTTGCGAGGTGTAAATAAGGATTGTTTTATGTTGTTTTGTACACGTTAAACTTTTGGAAATGATTGAACTTTATGCAACAAAAAAATGAAAAGGATAGAAAAACGGAAACTATGTTTATGACTTGAAATATCAATATTAGAACACCTTGTTTTATCAAATTAATATTCAAGATTCAATATTGTTTGATATTGGATTTGGTATTGGCCAAAAATTACTATTTTATTCCCTTTAATTATATTGGCCCAAGGACATGCACCCACCCATAATTTGCCGTAAAGATAAAGTGGTACCCAAAAAGTTTGAAAATGACAAATAGCCACTTTCTGTTAGATTCTGTTAGTAAATTCCGTTTGGAGAATGAAAGTGTGGTAATTTTGCATTCAGCAAAAAAGGCGGCCACTTTCCTCTCTTTTCTTCTTTCTTTTTCTTTATTGCTGTGAGCCTCCAAATTCATCTCCCACTGCAGTGCCAACTTCACCACCCTCCACCACCAGTCCACCACCATCTAACACCAGTCCACCACCATCATCACAGCCATCTTCTCCACCTCCTACAACCTCCTCACCTCCTGAGCCTAATGTAAATCAACCTGACCCCTCCACACCTTCTACTCCATCACCTCCTGCACAACCACCTGTCTCACCACCACCTCCTCAAAATACATCTCCACCCCCCATTGACATCTACACCTTCTCCCCCTCCTCCTCAACAATCCATTTCACCTACATCCCCACCACCATCTCCACCTATATCTAATCCACCAACTAGTTCATCTCGACCACCACCACCACCACCACCAATAGCATCCAATCCACCAACGAGTTCATCGCCCCCACCACTACTAGTATCTAATCCACCAAGGAGTTCAACTTCACCACCACCAGTATTTACTCCACCAACGAATTCCCCTCCACCACCACCAGTGGCCAATCCACCAACAAGTCCTCCTCCACCCTCAAATTCATCTCCATCACCACCATTTGATCCACCAAAAGCTTCACCTCCACCACAAACACCATCTACTCCACCAAATAGCTCCTATTTGATGATAAATATACATTGCCCAAGTAGTTGACATTTCACAAGAAATTCTTTTACCAGTACAAGAAACCTCCCTTTTCTTGAATTTATAAAAATATAAATAAAAACACCATCAAAACTCCAGATTTTAATAAAGATAGACACTAATACACAGGGCTAGAAACAAATAATATAAATATCCTAGTCACTGTCACTCTGCATAGTGTTTGTCTGCTACTGCTCCCATAAAAAACTTCTTGACAGAGTGCTGATGGACGAGTTCAACGATTCCAACAAAAGAAAGGAGAAGGGAGAAGCGATTGGCTAGATTTGCGGAAGATGAAAAAGGAGAAGCGGCTGGCCAAAGACATAAGAAAAAGGAAGAAGGAAGGGAAGAGAAAAAGGAGAAGCAGTTGGCCAGATCTGCAAAAGGGAACAAAAAAATTAAGAGAAGAAGAAAGAAAAAAATTGAAGAAAAGAACAGAAAGAAAAGAGAGGAAAGTTGCAAAATTAAGACGTTGACAGAAAGTAGCTGTTTGTCATTTCCAATCCTTTTGGGTACCAACTTGTTATTACGGAAAACTATGGGTGAGTGCATGTTTTTCGGCCTAATGATATTCCATTATCAAAATGATATGAGCTGGCGTTTTAACTTTCAAATACGCATAACCGCCTTACTGAAAGTCGAATTTAAACCACACCGCAGCGAGTATTATATAGCATAATTTTGAAGGCGGGAAAACGGCAGCGCCTAGCCCTTTACATAACGGAAAAGTCTACCCTCCTCATTCACTCAATATTCAACACTCACTGAGTTGAACCACTAGCGACAGAATTGGGTCTCGTTTCAAAGCACAAAAGAATATGGGTTGGAATTACGCAGACATTTCTTTAGAAGAAATGATGAAATTGATAAAAGGGTTTGTAGATGTACTCATTCTGGCATCTGGGTATCAGTCTTCTGGCCTTCCTGCCCACTGGGATGCCCACAATATCAAGAAAGCTTTTCACTGGGCTCTTTTTTTTGAGAATGTGAGTATTTTCTATCGTTTCATTTCTATTGCCTTTCTCTATCGACTGTCTTAATTATAACACTGTAGTTACTATAATATTGGGGCATTTTGTTAGCAGTGGATGAAAAGATTATTTATAATTCTTAACTAAATGATTCTTTTATTTTTGTTTGATTCAATTTCTTATTTGAAAGGTATTATTTATCCTCCATGTACTCTTTACTTTGTAGTTCGTGTTGGAAATATTTGAAAATTCACGATTTCTGTGTATTTTGAAGAAAATACAATAGTTGCAAGAGAAATTACTTGAATTTTCATTGTTTGCCAAGTAATTCTGATCATTAATGAAGTCCTGGCCTTAGCTTGCTAAAGTTTAGTCGGGACATTGTGTTTGTGGGGTTTATTGGCTCGCTGATTTTTTCTTCAATATATATGCACGCTTTTCTGATATTCTTTTGATTAAGGTTCATTCTCAGATTAAGTTTTGCTAACTTGGTTGTGCACACATTCCATTGTTCTTTGCTGGGTTAGCAAAATAAAATTTCATCTGGTGTTGATTGTTAGGTGTTTAGGCAGTTGAGCTCCACAGATGTTTACCTGGACTCATTGAAGGAACTTGATGCAGCGCTAAATGAAATGACATCCAATCCTTCCTTCCCTCAGGTTGTGGAGTATATTTGGCCTTCCAATACTTCTTCTGTTACACTATATTTGGATTTGAAATCAATTAGATAATTAAGTAATATGCGATAAGTTTCATGTGATTGCACTTACATATTTGTGATGGTCAGGGTCTTTTGCATCTGTCATGTGCTACTCTCAGTAGAGCCAGAGCTTTTGTTTCCGAACATTTCATACATCCTTTACCTTTGAGGGATGCACATCTCAGCGCTTACCTAAGAGCAACAGTGGAGATGGATCTTAATGAGCTTTCAAAAATTGAGGATGACTGCCTTAATATGTATCTCCAAAAGTTGATGCTCCTGGATTCATCACTTAACTTGGTTCAGGAACCGAAGGGTTTTGTGAAGGACTCATTTAAGTCATCTTCAGATGTTGCTCCACCTAAGAAGATCGAAAAATGTACGACTGATGATTTTACAGCGTTTGCTGTTCAAGGGTTGTCTAAGAGGCAGTCGGCATTGTCATGCATATCAACAATTAAGACAGGCTTAGATGTCCTCTCCACTGCTGTGAAACACAGTAGTTGGACTGAGCCTGATAATAGCTTTAGCGAAGAACATTTGAAGCAAGAAAGAGCTCCAGCATTGATGGGGTATGTGGTAGAGTTGCCTAAGAGCATGAAATTTAAATATCAATGTTTTACCAATAGCAATTATTTGTGGGGAGCGTTGCTGGATTTGATTAAATAACATTTTGATGCTCCCTTAGTCAATGCTGAACATCTCTATTTGTTTTCTATATTATTTTCTGCTTGATTTTTCTTTATCCTTTGTTTTGGTCTGAACTAAAGATGTTTAGTTTCTTCTCAGGGGTGAAGACGACTTGGTTGATTTTGTCACATGGAACTGCTGGAAATCAAGAAATTTCTTGTATTTTCTTGATATGAGAACTGTTAGATTGGTCTCTGGTGCAAGCATGATATTTTCTGCACCCAAGTGCCAGTGGGTACAAATATTTGAACGGCTGCATTTATCAGCAGAAGGCAGTGATGATGATTTGAGTGAAATGATTGTAAGTTGTTTGAAATTTTGAAAATATAATAAGAAGATTTAAATTTTATAGTTCTATCAAATTCTTAAAGCCTTGATTACATCCAGTAACTGGTACAGATGTATTTGCAGCCTGGTATTTGCTCTGATACAAAGTGTAGATGTGTGCTCACTTGTAAAAATTCATTATAACTGATTTCGTGTATACTGACCAAATCAATGCTAAACATCTCTTTTTGTTTTCTATATTGAATCACATATTGTTTCGTAAGGAAACATCATTCTTTTTGCTTTCAGTTCATTGTATTATTTGGTCTTTTAAGATTCTGCTCGGTTCCATACAGTTTCTGTTGGTATATTGCTAAATTAAGCTTGATTTTTGTCATATAGTAGTTTTGTAGATATCATGCTCTTCAAGTAGTCGGACTTTCATGTTAATTTCTGTTAGACAATCTTCCTCTTCTTTTTCTTCTTAATCAAAATTATTTGGTTAACCTTTTTTTCCTTAGGAGCTTCTGTTACTTGGATGCATTGGAAGCAAATGGAGTTGTCTGATTGAACATTTCATGTCAATTTCTTATGATTCCCTTACCATCTCAAAGCAGTATTATGAATTGTGCCAGGGAATACAACATTTTCATTCTAAAGAGGAGATGATGAACTTAAAGGTATTATATTTTTATGATGAATTCAAAGCTTTTTCCTCCCTCATCTACCCTTTATCAATGAACAAGTATACCAAAAATCAACTATCATGGAATTTTGCTTGATTCAGAATTTATTACATAAACTGATGTCATATGAATTGGTTTAAATCGTTGTCTAATCAAATATAGAACCTAGGATCTACTCAAATCCACCCCCTATTTCCACTAAATACAAGGTCCAAAGGATATCATTTTAGATAGATTATGCCTGCAGTTCTCATTTTAGGTAGATTATGCCTGCAGTTCTTTTGTGCCAAAGGATATTTTACAAAGAACACATTGTAAAAGTTGCTCAGAATACAATCACTATATAACCAATGGCAAAATAAATTATACTGTGGGTCACATTTTAGATGGATTGAGCAGTAGTTCTATTAGTTATGTATTTTTTCATTTATTTGCCAGTGAAACTACTAATCCAACGTTTAGCTCTACATTCTTTGTTGCTTGTTTTTGCTATTTTTGTTTATATTACTTTCTATGTTCTTTTTGCTGGTTTTAAGTAGGAAACTTGCATTCTGGAGTATCTGATTGAACTGTTAAGTGGTCGACTTCATCAGCTCTGGAAACTACCGCCTGCCCTTATATCAGTTGCCATTCCATCGTGGTAATGTTTGATTCTTCAATTTTTCTGTATATATGCAATAGACTTCAAATTACTTCATGTAGGAGAAATGAGTACCCTGCATTATGAGACTTTGCCATCCCCTGCCGATTTCAAAGACGCAGTCACACTAACACAAAGAAAAGAAAAGGGGAAGAGTTTTTTTTTCTTGTTTTGGGGTGGGGTGGGGGGGTGAGGGGGATGTTGGGTTAAGATGAAGAAGAGAGAGATAAGTGAATTCATCATCAGTGCATGCTTTACAATTGAAGATCTTGAATTGTTGTTGCAGGTCACCTTTATTTAGACTTTATTTGAGTGAAATAGAGACACATTTCAAGGGAGATACTTTAACTATGAGGTTTTGTACTACTATCCCCTTTGGTTTCATTTTAATAAGGATTAAAAAATTATTTAATTTTTTTTTTCTGGGGACGTATTTCCATTACAATTAGTGGTTAACAATTATTTTTGTAGCAGATTCTGCAGTTGTTCTCAAGATGGGAAGGAACACAAGAATTGTTAGTATCTCAATTCCCTTATTCTCTTTTTCTCTGCAGCTATTCAGACGCTTAGTCAATTTTATGTACATATTATTACTAAAGCAATGGGTAATTTACCAATAAATTATTGACATTAGGTTATTTACACATCTCTTGTATTTTTCCATCTTACCAAGAAACTACAATTGAATTAAGCAACCATAACCTAAATTGTTATACAGATAACAATTAGAACCTTAATCAAACTTACTTGAGCTGGTATTACAGACAACTAGGAAATCATCTCGCTAGGGAGGGTTCTTTGAATGAAGTCTGGTATAAATAGAAATCCTGTTATGTTTATGAGAACATTATTTGTTCTGACATTGAAATCTGGAAAAAAAAAAAAAAAAAACATTCAAAATTGGCATTGAGCTGTTTGTTACCTGAGAAGTCGAACCTGCTTGATTGAAATCCTAGATGCAAACAAGCTCTGCATGTATGGTTATACACGAGGAGAGAAACTTATGGAAAATTTTGTTTCCTATTGGCATGCTAATATTGTAATCGCTTTACATATTTTATTGNTCAGTGCATGCTTTACAATTGAAGATCTTGAATTGTTGTTGCAGGTCACCTTTATTTAGACTTTATTTGAGTGAAATAGAGACACATTTCAAGGGAGATACTTTAACTATGAGGTTTTGTACTACTATCCCCTTTGGTTTCATTTTAATAAGGGTTAAAAAATTATTTAATTTTTTCTTTTTTGGGGACGTATTTCCATTACAATTAGTGGTTAACAATTATTTTTGTAGCAGATTCTGCAGTTGTTCTCAAGATGGGAAGGAACACAAGAATTGTTAGTATCTCAATTCCCTTATTCTCTTTTTCTCTGCAGCTATTCAGACGCTTAGTCAATTTTATGTACATATTATTACTAAAGCAATGGGTAATTTACCAATAAATTATTGACATTAGGTTATTTACACATCTCTTGTATTTTTCCATCTTACCAAGAAACTACAATTGAATTAAGCAACCATAACCTAAATTGTTATACAGATAACAATTAGAACCTTAATCAAACTTACTTGAGCTGGTATTACAGACAACTAGGAAATCATCTCGCTAGGGAGGGTTCTTTGAATGAAGTCTGGTATACATAGAAATCCTGTTATGTTTATGGGAACATTATTTGTTCTGACATTGAAATCTGGAAAAAAAAACATTCAAAATTGGCATTGACCTGTTTGTTACCTGAGAAGTCGAACCTGCTTGATCGAAATCCTAGATGCAAACAAGCTCTGCATGTATGGTTATACACGAGAAGAGAAACTTATGGAAAATTTTGTTTCCTATTGGCATGCTAATATTGTAATCGCTTTACATATTTTATTGAACTTTGTGCATTGTGCCTAACTGACATGAAATTACACTTACGTTTAGATATCAAAGATCAAAGATGGATTTCTACTAAAATCTTACAAGAAATCAACCTCTAATGATTCTCAGGTGAACTTGCTGAAAGAATCTGGTTGCTTTACATATTTCATATTTATGGGTCTCATCTGATGTCCGGTGCTATTAGTGCTTGACAAGTGAGCTTGAGCATTACCTCTATTCTTGAGTAAGAATCTCTTTTCTACATTTTTAGCCAAATAATTGTCTCTTTATTGTGAATCTTTACAGAAGGTAGTTTCTATAAGTAGTAGTTTGTAGCTTTCTGATGTTCTGATTGTGAACATTTTGTAGGGCTTAACATTGCTCTGGATTTGGATTAAGTCCTCAAAAAAATATAGAGCATGTCTTTTCTGGTATTACACTACTGCAGCAGAAGCGTATATCTATCTAGATACATGATAATGAAACTAAAGGAGTATAGTTTATTAATTGCAAATATGATATGATACGTACATATGTGCACATGTGTACGCTTGGTTTATTCTAAAAATATCTGTACTGTTACACAGCAGAAAATATGAGGTCGCAAATTATCTGCAACAGAAGAGAACAAACAAGGTTAGAAAATTCACACTTTCTTATGTGATGTAATAATACGTCATTGTATATCAATCTTTGCTTGAATGAAGAGGGATCGAACCTTATTCTATAAATTATCAGATTATCTGGCCCACTAAGTCTTTTTCATATCCTTGTGGGGGCCGTTTCCAGATAAAATGTGATAAAACTTCAGCTGAAAAAAGCTATGAATTTTGCAAATGGAAGAGTGTGATTAATCATGTGAACCTCACTCATTCATTTAGGCATGGACGGTGAGAACTTTTCTGGAGCAGTCCACTCTCATCCAACCTTTTTTCCGTAGATGCTTCCTGGGAAAGTTCAGCTCTAGAGTAAAACTTAAGCAAAATCTGAAAAAAAAACACTTGGCAACTCTTTGGTGGACTAGCCAATATAAAAAAACTGTGGTCTCACGGGTAGTGACATAACATCACTAGCCTAATATAAACAGTGAGTTGAGACAGATGGCCAAGTGAAAAAGTTGAATGGGCCATTGATAATGAAGTAATTTAAATATAATAAGCATGATAATGGGCATTGATGCGTGAAGGACTGGTCTTCATGCTTTCTTTTCAACTATATTTTCTTATGGTTTCCTTTTTGCTTCCAGTCATGTAAACCATCTTCCTTGAATTTGTATACAGTTAGTGCAGCAAAGTGAGGAGCTAGCAATGAAAACCTTCGAGATGCGGAGGTTGAAGGGGATCCAGTTCTTGAAGTGGGGAAAGAAATTGGGAAGCACCGGTTCTGCGGTCACGCTTGTTAGTCTCGAAAGAAAAGAGCCGAGTGGTGGTTGTAGTACATCATATGTGGTGATGCAGTTGTTCTGGAAATTGAAGTCTCTTTGGAAGCAAGCTTTGGGATGGCAGAGGATGAATGTGCAGTACAGCTATGATATCCACAGTTATTCTCTCAACTTTGATGATGGTTCTTTGCGTGATCATTGTTTGCCCAATACTTGAAGAAAGTTTTGTTTCAACTTCAGGAATAAGTCATCTCTGAGACAACCAGTCCCTGATATACAATTTTTTTTTTTTTGTTAAATTTCGAGAGTTACATATTTCAGTATCGGATTGTACTTGTAAATTAATCATACGAACTTTAAACTGAGATACGGGAGGTTAATATTTGTGTACAGTATCAACCAAATCTTGTATTTCTGGGATTACATTATCAACCCATATTCATTTTGGGATTTTGCAGAATTTTCTTTTTCTGAACTCTTGCTAAATCAACTAAAATGGTGTGATCTTTGCCTCTGTCTCTCCCTATCCTTTTTCCTGGTTTGGTTCTGAAGATCTTGAACATGGCAGATATATCTAATCTAACAAAATACAAAGAACGATGAGATTTTATTTAATAATAAAAAAGAAAACATTAATAATGCTAGTTTATTAGTGGCGTTTCTGATATGACTCACACGGTTTGGCAGTTTGCATGACTTGACTTGAGGGGCCCCCGTCTTTGAACTTTTTGTCGTCTATTGATATGGTCAAATTTACTAGTTTGTCTTTTTTTTCTTTTCTTTTTTCGATGTTATCCAATTTACCATTGTCACTGTTAACAATCAGTCAATCATCCATTTCATTCTCTCACAATTCCAGGCTGAATCACTATTATCTAATTTTCCCTTTCTTGATTTTTATTACTACAAACAATCATTTAAGCTTGGAACGACACTTCACGAAATCGGAAACCGGACATACGTTGTGAGTTTACTGTGAAGGAGACAAACAAACCGTCCCTTTAAATTGTTGGATTCGGCCTCAAGGTCTGGTTTTCCTGGTATGTTGAAGCTTTCTTGTATTAATAAAATGTGTCATGCTGTAATTTTCTCCATAAAACATGCATTTGAGTTAAAAAAAAAAAAAAAAAACTTGAAATATATAAATTCGAAGCTTTAGGGATTGAGAGTTTGTTTAGGGTTTTCTGGTTTGTTATTATGCTGGGATGAGCGAGACCGAGTGTTGATGACACGGTGAGTAAGTGATGGAACTCCTGGGATCGGTGGAGGTGAGTGTTAAGAGTTACAGAAGTGTGTGTTGAAAACTTAATAAAATTATATAATTTCGAGAAGAATAATAAATATTACTAAAAGTAAATCCTTTTATAAAATAAAGAATGAAACAATAGTATGTTAATTATAAAACAAAATATATCAAAACTTATTTTCTCTTATGAGGATTTAGTCAAATGTTATTTAGAAATTAAACTTATTTTTTTATTTTTTATTTCAGAAATAATTTGGATAGGTTTTGATGAAAGCAAGGACTTGCTAATATTGCTTGGTGATGTTACTGAGCTTCATAAATGGGATTTAATGGCATCAATCTTTGCCACCAAACACGGGTTTAACTTTTCTTTTTAACTTTGGACAACTTCTCTTTATTATTGTTGTAGTGTCTTCGAAAATAAATCAAAGGACACAAAAGGTGAGGGATCAAAGCTTTGTTTGCCTGCTTTATTGCTTTACTTCTGCTAAGCCAAAAAGTTCTATGTTTGGGCCCTGTATTAGTAGAGTACCATTGAACCTGCAGAATTCTTCTTTGATGAGTTTGATATTGTCATTTCAGTAGTAAAAATTGATAAACTACTGAATGCACATTAAAATTTAAATCACTTAGGATTTATAATAAATTTTGTCTCTTGATGTTCTGTTATTTATATTTTTTGTATAATTTGGTATATATTTAGAAGATGCTGTATATGTCTTTTTTATTTTTGTTTCTACTATATATAGGTATGATGAGATGACGTCTACCAAGTCGAAGACACCCATTCATCCTTTCCAGGCAACAGTATCAAACCTATCTAATAGGAATGTGTTGTCCGAGGTTAATCTTAGATTGACACCTGCGCAACTGGCCAAGTTCAAGAAGACATGTTTTGGAAAGTTGCTGGACATCACCCTCAAATTTCAAGGTGCCTTAGTCCATTGTATGTTACTAAGGGAAGTTGCTAAGTCAGATGTACAACCATTTGAGATGTGGTTTGACTTGTTAGGCCATGCTATTCGGTTTAGTTATCATGAATTTGGATTAGTGTCTGGGTTGAGGTTTGCACCAATTCCATGTGAGTCTTCTTACCATTTCAAGGAGGTGGAAGAGGTGCATGTGAAAGGTAAGGCTGGAGAGATTATTGTCAAGAGAAAAGAGGTTGAAAAACACAGATTGCGAGATTTGTATTTCAAAGGACGGGAAAGAATAAAATTGAGGGAATACAAGGAGAAGTTCAATGAACTGGACTTCTATAATATAGATGATGATGATGCAGTGAAGTTAGCATTGATTTTGGTCTCGGAGCTATTCTTGTGTGGTAGAGACAAGCGTCGTCTCATTCATCCATTTCATATGCAATTGGTGGACGATTTGGATCAGTTCAATGCTTATCCATGGGGCACGTTCTGTTGGGCATGGACTTACAAGTCACTGCATGATGCATTAAGTGGACGCCTTAATAAATATGCTGATAGGTCAGCGAAGAAAAACAATGACTGTAAGTATAATCTCGCGGGTTGTCCATTTATCTTTCAGGTACATTAATATAAGTTTTGTGTTCATTCAAATCGATTACAAATTAATATCTAATATACTCGCTTGTGCATATCTAGGGATTAATATCTAATCTACTTGCTTCTGTATATCCAGGCATGGGTGTACGAGGCTATACCTTACTGTAATGGCCTGTATGGGGTCAAGAAATCTCTCCCTTCAATTCCGCGAATTGTTACATGGAACACTTAAAAAACGATTGAATACAGAGATGTTCAATTGCGTTTGTTCGCAGCTGATAATGTGAGTAATTTACTGTACTACAACAAACACTAAAACTTCAAATTCATTCGATTTTAATAATCATTTGAATTCGTTGCCTGTTTGGCAGGTTGATCCCTTGGTTGAGTTGAGAGCTTACGATAGTGAATTAGAAGAGGATTGGTTTAAATTACTCCAGCTATATAAACCTAGTGAACTTGATATTGCTCTAGCATGTTACGGTGAGGATGATATTGATCAAGGAGCGACTGATATTAGATCTACAGAAGAAAACACTATTGATGATGTACCTGTTGATCAATCCAGAACCCACACAGTTGATGTTGGTGATGGCAATGTTTGTGCGGATGATCAGGGCGATACTTTGTTGGACAAGGTTCCTCGTACTCCTATAGTTCATCAGGCTTTGAAGAAGCGCCCCCGGCCTAAACCTGCCAGTGAATTTATGAACCATGATGACATATTGGAGTCTCTGTTTCAGCGGATGGAAAAACATATTGATGCTCGTATTGAAGCGCGGTTTCAGCAGATGGAGGACAAGTTCGGTGCTCAATTACGGGACATCCAAAATCAGTTACGTGATATTCATGAGTATGTTTCGAAATTACAGATACCTCCACAGTAATTAAATAGAAGCACTGCTTCAATAAAATCCACATATGGTTTTATAGGGTTTTCTACGTAAACAGTATAGATTTCTGATTCTCTAATTATTCAGGGATCATAAAAATTGAACTTCGTCATTCATAAATGTTTTAAAAATTTCAAAGCCATATATGTTAATGACAATTCAAATATAATCCTACTCAAGAACCTCAATTCTGCTGTTTCAGTGGTTCAAGGGGCCTGATATTGAACTTTTACGCTTTGCGTAAGTACTAAAGCAGGTATACATAATTTTGATGTTCAACCTTTGTAGTCTCATCCATTTTCTATAAATTATATCTGAAGTAAAAAAGTTACCATCTAAAATAACCATTTGATTCTTTCCAACCCAAACTTTTTTTGTACTAGTGCTTCACATGTGAACTTGACTTTTATATATGAAACATTATATTCATGTATTCTGAAGTAGAAAAATGATCAAGCAGCCATGCTAGATTGGAATAAACAGCAACAGTAGACACAAATACATAGGGGACAACATGAGTTGTAAAGCATAACTGTCTCTTTCTGTCCTCATATTCATTAATAATCATTAATCCAGACTTGATTGATTTACTCCCATCATTTTATTAAATCTTCCCATGTGATTTCCATCCCAGGATTCAAGAGATCAAATCATCACACCATACCCCCACCACCCCATCTCACTCTTTATCTTTCACCTTCAATCTCCTACTCATTTCACCATCTCTCTCTGCAAATGGCAATTACGAACTTGTTCTTGATCACACTAGCATTGACAAGCCTCTTCATTGGCTTGGCACTTGCAGACTGGAACATATTGAACCAAAGAAAGAAGCATGTGGTGGGAGATAGCCTGAAAACTTACTGTGAAAGCTGGAGGATAAACGTTGAGCTTAACAATATAAGGGAGTTTGAAGTAGTTCCCCAAGAATGCATAGATTTAATCAAGAAGTACATGACATCTTCTCAGTACAAGGCTGACTCTGAGAGGGCCATTGAAGAGGTGATTCTCTACTTGAGCAGTTGTTGCACTTTGGAAGGTGATGGTAAAGATGCTTGGATATTCGATGTTGATGATACTCTTCTTTCTACCATTCCTTACTTCAAGAAACATGGTTTTGGGTAAGTTCATTTAATCAGATCAAATTTACTTTCACTGAAGCAGTTTGATAATGCTAAATGCTTTGTAAAAAACAAGAATGTATGTACACGATTCTAAACACAATCGTAGATCAGATAGTCTTGATGCTTTCAGTAGGATTTCCTTGGTTACTCCTGCTCAGATAAGATTGTTCATTTCCTGTATTGACTATACTCCCCCCCCTTGTTATTCTTACTGCAACATTTTTTTTTTTTAATAATAGTTTCAGGGTAAAGTATATTTAGTTGACTGGAGTGGGATCCAAACTTTAAGGTCGGTGTATCCATGGCAAAAAATTTACTCATTTCAAGCTATGGATCTCTAGTTTGAATAATTGAAAATATCTCGATAGTATAACTTTTCAGATAAAATTCTGATATGATCTCGCTTAGGAAATTATTTTTAGATCTAAACTTAATTTTAAAGGGTGTATAGTATAGTAATTGTTTTTTATATTTCCTATCCTTTTACCTTTAAAATATATCAAACGACAGAGATTCTAAAACTTCACAAAATCCAATGAAGATGGACCCATTTCCCCATTTTGTGCCCCCACTACAAGCTTAAGAATCCAATGCCCCAAACACATTTCACCTTATGAGTGTTGGAGTTGTCGACTACTTCAGCATTAATGGGTAACGGAGACGCACTCGAAGGTCCTACTGCCCAGTCAGCGGGCGGATGCCCCGCTCCCCGGTGAGCGGGTGGGGGTCGCGGGGGCAGCGCCCCCGAGCCCGTAGGCGGTTTTGGGCTTTTCCATGTATAACCGCTGTAGGATTCCTTTTAAGTTATTAATTCCTTTTTGGGTTGGGCTTAAGAATAGGAATTCTTGTAAAACTAGGTTTAATCTCTTAAACCTAGTATATAAACATACTTTTCTCTTGTTATGAGGGGAGAGCAATTCATTCATTGTAAACGAGAGAGGTGAGGCATATTTCAATAATATTGACTCAGCTGGACGTAGCCCACATTGGGTGAACCAGGGTAAATCGCGCGTATAATTTCTTTGTTTACTGTTTGTTTTGTTTTACTATTATTATTTTTGTTCCTGTTGCTTCTCCATTTCGTTCAATGAGAAGCCCAAAAGTCCAATATCGGTGTTTGGACAGATCTTGATCATTAGAGTTATAATTGAATTATCAAACTGTTGTACCTTGGTTGCATGAGAGTATCACTTTTTCCATTGATGTAAATGTGTTAATATTTAAATTATAAATTAAAAACAGGGGAGAGAAGCTGAATGCAACATCTTTGGAATCGTGGATGAAAGAGAGCAAGGCCCCAGCTCTTGAGCATACACTCAAGCTGTACCATGAGATCAAGCATAGAGGGATTAAGATTTTCCTAGTCTCTTCAAGAAGGGAAACTCTAAGATCTTACACTGTTGACAACCTCATCAGTGTTGGATACCATGGATGGACTAGTCTTGAATTAAGGTCACTTCATTCTTCTCATTTTCTTGGTTTTAATCTGTCTTCGCGATAAACTAAAAAAAGAAAAAACTGACAGGGTTTAGTTTAGTTATCTAATTTTGATTTAACCATTGACTAAACATACAGGGGTCTTGACGATGAATACATGAAAGTGCAACAATACAAGTCTGCAGTGAGACAAAAATTGAGTGATGAAGGGTACCGCATCTGGGGCATCATTGGAGATCAATGGAGCAGTTTCGATGGACTCCCCAGTGCAAAAAGGACTTTCAAGCTACCAAATTCCATGTACTATCTATCCTAAATTCCACCTACCATATTATCATTGTTGTCATTGTTACTTTAATACCCTCTTGGGATTGTTGTTGAGAAATCGAAAAGTGTACCAAGTAAAACGATAAAGCTCAATTTAATGTTATATTCAACTACCATTAAAGTTAGTTGAAGTAACCAGTAATCCTTAAAAGATAAAAGGGTTTCATGTTTCTTTATCAAGTCTGCTAGTGGAGGAGAAAACCATGAAGCAGAATAATGCCTAACAATGAAGTTGCATAACCACAAACAGAACTTATAATAGTTTATCTTCCACTTACACAGAAGCTTCATGAATCAAAATCTCTGGCAACAGTTAAGCTGAAGATTCTAGCTTTGGGTATCCGTATAAAGTAGATATGCTTTTGTAAAAAAGAATTAATATAGAAGTTATTCTTCCTTCTTCTTGTGACAGAAGCTTTAGTTTCCACTAGTAAATAAGTTGTATAGCATCTTGCATGATTGCCGAAGGGGTTAGTGGAAACATTGTGTTTACTGCATGCATATTGGAATTTTCAGATAACGAATTAGACAAACAGAAAGTGGGGAATTGTTGTGTGGATAATATCAATGCATGAATAGCAAGACAATCAGATGGAGTGGCAAAATGTAACTGTGGATAATATCAATGCATGAATAGCAAGACAAATCAGATGGAGTGGCAAAATGTAAGCCCTGGCTTTGGCTCTACTTTTTCTATGCAAAGATGGAGCTTGTTGGTTATATTGGGAGACAAAATCATTTATTTCACAAACATTGAAGAATGCTAATTTTTCATTTGTTTGGCTACAAAAGCTTATAGTTTGTCTGATTTGTACTCGACAGCAATGAGACCTGAAGATATTTAGTAGATTTAGAAATAATTATACTTCAATCAAATTTACCTGTTTATCTTACGCTAACAAAATCTGCTGATGAGACACTGTTATATACTCAAGTTTCTTCATTAATTTATGATTGATACAAACAAACCAGAGATGGGCGAAGCTGCCATTTCGACCAGTTGGCTGCTGGCCCTTGTTCAACTTACAGGTCATATCTCAAAATTTTTTATCTTTTTTCTAAGCCTTTTCTTTTACCCACAAAAAAAAAAAAAAAAATAAACGAAGATTTATCTAGCATGTTTTTTATTTATTAAATACATAATTTTTATATACAAAATGATACGATGTATAGAAAATAAATAATTAATAACTAAAAATTAGCTTTTAATGCCTAATTGTAGATTTTTATTTATTTATTCCTTGGATAAGTCATTTTATCATGTAAAAAAGTAGAAATCACTAAATGAGAATCACCAAAAATTTTCAATTTGGGAATATAGTCTAATTTGCTTTCTCAATTTATCCTTTTTTGACATGTGTCTATTGCCAATTGTATGATAATTAATATTTAGAGAAACCCAAAAAAGAAAAATAAAAAAATGTCTTGGCCATATTGGCTTTTAAGCAAACTGAAAGAACATTTCTCTAACATAAGACAGAACACTAACTCCACGTGCAACGCATCACATATTTCATCACTCTCCAATCACACACTCACAAAGTGATCCCCCCAAACACATGACATGCACTATTTCTACCACGTCTCCCCTTGAGTTTAGCTCACACGCGCTCCCCAAGGCGCATGGACCAATCACTGTTCTTCAATATCACAGACGCCCAAAGGCCAAAAGGGCCAGAACGCCAAGAGAGAGAGAGCGAGCGCAAAGGCGCACTAATCACCGTTCTCTGTAGTATCATTTGACACCGCCGGTCACCCATTTTACATCACCCGCTTGTCTCGCCAGATATTTTCTGTCGTTTTTTTGTACTCAGTTTTGATTCGATTCTCTTGGGGTTTCAATTTCGACAGGTTTCTGCTGAAGCTGTAGGTAAGAATTCGATATGCCCATTTGATAATTTTCTGATTAAATTTTCCTTTTTTTTTTTTTTTCAGGTAGAATTCCAGCATACCCATTTGCAGTTTTGGTTTAATTTTCTTGATTTGATCTCTAATAGGTTCAGCTATCTCAATTCTGTTGTTGTTAATATTTTTATTTTTAATGCTTTTGCATGGTACGATTTTTTTCATTTGTTTTGCATATTGAGGTGCCTTGCAAGTTTGTTTTTAATTTATTGTTTTTGGATTGATGGGTGCCGGTCAAAGTTTCATCTTTGAACCGAATTTAGCTTCTTTTTTTTTTGGGAGTATGAAGGAAAGTAAAAATTGTTCGGTGGACCTAACTGTAATGATGTTATAGTTTAGCTAAAGGCCTGGCTTTAAACATAGTAAAATTGTGAAAGTTTATTAGGACAATTCTTTTTTGCGCTTCAAATGAACATGTCTAGTGGTGTATTGACTGGCTGTGACATTGATTTTGATCATGAATGTGAAGTTTTGATCTTGTTTGGTTGATAATAATCCTGTAATTGGTGTTTGACAAAAAGCATGTTCTTGAAATGGCATCAATTATCATGTGTCTGATATGCAAGGTCTTCACCAGTGGAAACAACACTGCATGTACTTAACAAATGGAAACAAAAAGTTGCTACCGCACTGATAGAAAGTCTCATCCAGTTCTGTATGTTTTTTAATATTGCCAAACTTAATATTATAACCTAAACTTCAAGAAACCATGCAGTGACTGTAACTATAGTTATTAATTTGAGTGAGATGGTGGCCTCTGCATCGGAAATTTTTGGTGTATTATGACAGAATTAGCGCTCGCAGGGTTTCACAGGATTAGCTGATGTTTGTTGCTATGATTTGTACCCTCTTTTATTTTCTTATTTGGAGGCTCTTGGAAATCTGGATGAAAACCATGACTTTTAAGCATGAAACACATATGATTTTTTGATCCTTTATTATAACTGGCTCAGTTTTCTGAGTTCAGATGTCACTGTTTGTAGAGTTGGGTAATCTGCAGAACAGAACCTCAATGATTTAAAGCCTTTTTCCAAGTCATTGTATTGTGCAGTCTTTTGACAATTGATGATGTATTATGTTATATATTATGGTTCATCCTAAAATATCTTTTTACTTGTGATACAAACTGTAAAAATAATTGGATTTCCAAGCATTTGAGTTTAGGGACTTATTCCCGTGATGAAAGCTCTGCCTTTCTTATTATGTGTTTGCAACATTAAAATTTTGGCCACAGTTTTGGATTGCATTCACTGAAGTGCTTTATTGTTGTTCAGCCATAACCTTGGACATCTCTATCTTTGTCTGTACGTTTTCTTCTGAGTTGGTGCCTCTCATTGACTATTCGTGCAAGAAACAATTTTTACATAGTGCATTCCCTTTTGGTCCGTTTACTTATTAATTTATCTTTATTATGACAGATATAAATTGATGACCTTTCCCTTGGCACTATATTGAAACCAGTGAGAAAGGTACTTTCAGAAATCTTTTATTTGGTGGGTGTTCACATGAAAAGTGCAGGAGCACAAACTAAGATACTATCAATCGACTGAATGACAATTTTTTTAATTTGATTTAAGGATAACAATGGAGGCGCGTCCTATATCCATTCAGAGACCAGGTGCTAGGCAGCTCAGCAATCTGGGGGTGTCTGGAACAATGTCTTCATCATTGCCAGTCCTTCCGACCGCTCTGGAAGATACATATCCCAAGTTACCAGATTCTCAACAGGTCTCTATGGAAAGGGAACATAGGACAAGGCCACAAACCCATGCACCTCATGTACCATCAAACAGTGGAGTAGTTGGTCACATGTTTTCATCATCTTCTGGATTTTCGAGTGATCTTCATTATTCATCTGTATCACCTCACCAAAAGCATATGAACTCTCCTTTTATTTCTCAATCATCAACTAATGCTGCATCCTTGCAACTATCACAATCTTCCCATTCAGGGATGCCTCAGTCAACAACATCCAGTCAGTACTCCAAAGAGAGTAGTTCTTCTTGGTGTCCAGAGTCACTGCCAGGTTATCTCGATTTTCCTGTAAACACTCCCATCCACAATTGTCAAATAGAAAGCAGTAGTTGCAGTGGTGTCATGTCGTCGGAGGACTTCAGTAAACGAAATGATTGGCAAGATTGGGCGGACCAGCTAATTACTGATGATGATACTTTGGCTTCTAACTGGAATGATCTTCTTGTTGATACCAATATGACAGACCTGGATCCAAAGGTTTGAGCCCTCTCACTAAAAGTGGTGATTGAGATGCCTTTGCAATATAAACTGAATACTTTCTAGTACTATTTTGTGCTTCATTTTCTAGTTTTGTTGCATCAGATGCAATACCAGGTTTCGAAACCACCTACAAGTATTCCAGCACATCAACCCCAAGTTCATCACCAGCTTCCTGCCCCTTCTGGAGAAATCCGCACTGCTGTTACCCCTTCTTCCACTACAAATAATGCCCCAGCCAAGCCGCGGATGCGTTGGACGCCAGAAATTCACGAGGCCTTTGTGGAAGCTGTTAACCAACTCGGTGGTAGCGAAAGTGTGTTTCTTTCCAGGCCTCTTGCTTGTCTTAAATTTTAAGGTTTATGCTGCCTTTGATTACTTTTGTTTTTAACTTACAGGAGCTACTCCAAAGGGTGTGCTGAAGCTCATGAAAGTTGATGGCTTGACTATTTACCATGTGAAAAGTCACTTACAGGTACAAACAGTTCTTCTCTTTCTGGATGTATTTATTTGTGTGTGCATGCCAGCACATGCTTGTTAATGTGTGTCTGTATGCATGTATTTGGATGTATATTATTCTTTTAATTATTAATATTTGCTCATTGAACTGCAGAAATATAGGACAGCAAGGTTCAGGCCCGATTCATCGGAAGGTATGTAACAGTGGCCGCCAAGTTTCTCATTTTTTACTGTTGATTTGTTATTTGTTCTGGCTATATTTCTACTATTCTAAACAGCTTCTTCATGCTGATATATTGTGTATTTTTTATCATTGTTGGGGTTGGGCAGTTGGGGAGCAGAAGGGTTGTTCACATTTGGATCTCGTGTTTCTTTTAGTGGAAAATTGATTCTTCAGACATGGATGTTTGTTCTAGGAGGAGGGATGTTTTCCCTTGATGTTATTATGTGCATAATTCTGCCCCTGACATATATTTCCAAACCATCTATGTACACTTAGCAGTCCATTGGAGTAACTCATTGTGGAGAGATCAATGTAGAAGCCATTCACAAAGAGAGGGAGAGAGAGAGAGAGAGAGCCATATGGTTGGGAATTATGAATCTTGTTAAGGTGGTTTAACAGTTTTATATATGTTTAAGACAAGTAATAATAGTATTCTGCATACCAATTTAGATAATCATTTTCCTAATATTCTCACTAGTTCCATTTGTTCTGTAAACACTACGGCTTCGTTTGTTTCGCTTTTGGGAATACTATTATTAGTATTCCCAAAAAAGTTAAACAGTAAAATATCATTATTCCAAAAATATTATTCTATATTTTTTAATTTCTTTTAAACCTCCTAAATTTATTAATTTAACTAAACACCCCCAAATATTTTTTTTTAGAAATTGCAAAAGCACTCCGGCCACCCTCCGATGGTGGTGGCCGGCTGTCCATATTTAATGGGTGGGTTGAGGGCGTTTTTGTTAACTTTTAATATTTTATTATAAGGGTGTTTAGTAAATAAACAAACATAGGGGATATTTTTGTTAATTTTCAAATCCTACATCGTAATACCCGCCCAATTTAACTTTTTTTTCAAAATATTATTCTAAAAACTATCAGAATAATGAACCAAACGGAGTCTACACTTCTATGGATTCTCAACACTCTGCTCCAGAAAGCGCGTTAGCTTATTATTATGAACCCTATTGTTTTTCTTCCTGTATTTTATACCTAAATGGTTTGATATTTTTGGTGAGATATGTTGATTCCTTTCAATATGCGTGATTCCTGACATATACAAAGATATTGTTGGTAGAACGCAGTTAAGATAATCTGGTGCTCTCTATTGTTGCAGGATCCTCAGAGAAAAGATTGACTCCTCTTGATGAAATATCTTCTCTTGACTTAAAAACGTAAGTCTCTACTTATTTATGTATGAACATTTTTAACTATATCATGTGATATATTGATTTGTTAGTGTCTGGTTATAGTTATTTCCTGTAATAGTTGTTTTGGGAACTTTGTTACCACAACCAAATTTACACCATGGGGTAACAATCATAGTGATCTGTGTGTGAATGGGTTTGAAATAGGGGAAATCGTAAGGGTCAAGGATCATTTCGAAGTAGCAGCAATTTTTTGAAATTGGAATTTTAGTTTCATTTTTCTTTGTACTGTTTGAGGTGCCACTTCCACAGGTAGATTTCAACCTAAAACTGTAAAAGGGTTGATAAGTAGATATTTCCTGACCCCTGCACAGATGTCAAGTCTTATAGTTTGTTTTCAGTTGTGGCATCCACGAGTTTATAATGTTTTTCTTTTATAACTGTATTTGATGAGGAAGTTGAAATGTAGAAAGCTTTCCCATTTTAATAGATGCATATGATTGTAAAGCCAGCTTAAAGAGACCTGACTAAAAAAAAAGATTTGCTTTGTGAGTGTACGACAATCTCGTTGCCCCTTGCCTTTTCAGTTTTGTCTGTGTGCTTTTTGTCTGGTCGCTATAAATTAAGAACCTTTTTGCTAATTCACTGTCAGAAGAGATTAGGTAGGTCAATGGAGTGCTTGAATGAGTCAAATAGTCCTAAGGGAGGCTTTGCAAGTTAATTTAATTCTTTGATTCAGGCTGGTTTATTTAGTATAAAATAGGACTACAATAAATCGCGCTGTCACCATCATTTGAAAATTGAGCCTTTTAAGGATCCTTAATGCATCTAGTTTTAAGCAAAATGAATTTAAATGAACCACGTAAAAGAGGGATTTCATTTTAAGGAGTCCATAACTAGGTCCACCAGGTCTGCATTTTTTATAGTTCAACCTTCTTTACAAGGTTTCTGTATCATTGCTTCTTTGTATGTGTTCGGTATTATACTAAATATCTTATTATTTATTTTGGTATTGATAACAGGGGTATTGAAATTACTGAAGCTCTGCGATTACAGATGGAAGTTCAAAAGCGGCTGCATGAACAACTTGAGGTATAAATTTGTCCTCAGAAAGGGATTTTAATTTTAGTAAGATTTTTCTGCTTTGGGGTCTAAAGTTTATAGGGTTTTGAGTGCCTGTTAGATTTGGCCTTAAACCTGTTATTGATTCAGGAATTCTCTTAATTTCTCTAGCATATTATTTGTTTATGCCTAATAATAGTTGTCATATCCATCATTCTGTGCAGATATATATTTAGGTTTTATGCAAAGAGTAATTCTACATTTACACCACCTATTACACAATTTTCATTACACAATGATGTGGCATATCCTATATTCACACAAATTTTTAATTATTTTGAATTTTTAATATTATAATAAAATAATTATTAGTAAAATGGTGATGGTGTAATGAAAATGATGTAATGGGTGGTGTAAATATATCATTATTCTTATGCAAAATATGTGGTTCTGTATTAACTACATTTCTTCTTTGCAGATTCAAAGAAATTTACAGCTGCGGATAGAAGAACAAGGAAGGTACCTGCAAATGATGTTTGAGAAGCAGAAGTCAGGCATTGACAAACTGAAACCGTCACCATCAAATCTGGAGAATCCCTCTACTCCATCTTCAGATGCAATTGAAGATTCTCCTGCAAAAAGCGAATTGAAAGGCACCCAGGTGGACCATGTAAAGAAAATCGATGACAAAGTTAATGCCAAAGCTACATTGGAAGAAAGTTCACAGGAGGTTGGCGAGAAGCAAAAGGCACCTAATGCTGAAACTTCAGAGAATGCTGAGCCAAATTTTTCAGAGTCAAGTTCTCAACCTTCAAAGCGTCCCAGAACTGATGAATAAGATAAATGAGCATACAATGACAAGGCAATAATCATTCAAAGGAAGATTTTCATATTGAGTTAAGATGGAGTTAACTAACTTATCTAATGGATAAAGCTTTTTGAAATCCTCTCCCCTCTTTTCTCTATGTCCATGTGGGCAATTGCTTATGCACTCTTACGTTTAGTCGATAAACAATGCTGGTAAGAAAGTTGAGCATGATTATTATAGGCTTCAACTCCCGTAATTGTAACCAGTTTTAAGTGAGGATGAAAACCTTGGTAATAACCACAGGTGATTAAAAGGCTCGAATAAGTGGATATCCAAAGCATCTTCTTCTTCTTCGTTACTGTGCTTTCCGCATTTTGTAACTGTTCAGTATTTAAACCTTTCCAACCCCCAAAAAATCAAAATCTTAAGTAAGAAACAAGACAAAGCCACGCTTTGGATTGCAAAAGCATTTCATTTAGGGTATTTTATGAACAGACAAAGTTGTATTATGTGGCAGAACTTGTAGCAAGATCTAATTGTATCTAACAATTCTATCTTGTTTGCTTTGATCCAAAATTAAGAGGAAAATCATTTAAACCATAGTTATTCACTTAGGGATGAATTTTCCTGATATAGCATTGAGCATCTCGCCTTCTCCTTGGCAAGTCATCTGCATCCAGCATGCTGTTCAAAATATATGGGGTCTTCTTGGATTCCTGAAAAGACGGAGGATCAAGACGTTTTATAAACTTTGTTGTCTTCACAAATTCTGGCCCCTTCCCTTCTGTTAACGTTCTGTTTAGAAAACTGGCAGTTACCTTTCGTAAATTATTCATTGTTTAAACGTTTGTTTTATCTCATAGAAGCTGCAGTGCTAATAAATTCTGCTAGTGAGATTAAGTTACATTACATAAGGCACTTCTGTTCATCTTCCCTTTCCTAATTTTATCATGGCAGCTTCAAGAACAGCTTAATGTGAATCTGTTCCTCGGAATTGGATTTTATATTTCGACTTTAGCTTCATTAATGGTTTGATTCAATATTAGGGTTAGGGCGTGTTTTGTTAGCTGGAACATGTAGTGTCTGTCGAAAATCCCAACACTGAATATGACGACTACATGGAGCTTAGAAGAAACATTAAACATATAAAAGAAAACAAACAAGTAAAAACCATCAATACAAATAAGTAGAAGCCTTTGTCATGTGAATTTGTAGACCGGTGCATAGTGCATACCAAGACAAGCTAAACATATTGGCTTACTGAGGTTGGCTCGAATAAAAAATTACAAACTCTTGAATCCCTTGGAGTTTAAAAATTCAGGTTCAACTTCCATTTGAAAAGAATTGGGAAAAACTCAGGCTGGGTTTGATTTTGCTCGATGCTCCTGAGCTGGGGCAAGTTCAAGATTTATTAATCAAGTACCTGAAGGTGATGTTTGATAAACAAAACCCTTGACAAACATGAGGCATCATCATCAAAACTGGAAAATCATGGATCAGTGACAGTTAATGGCAACTCAAAGTTGGAAGAAAGTTGGCACGAGTTGGTGGACAAGAATCATGCACATAAAACAGAAGCTCATGAGAATTCTGAGCCAGCCTAATATCTCTTGTGAGTCAACTTCTGAACCCTCTAGTTGTCCAAGAATATTGGATGAGTGAGAGTCTAACCAGCTTCAGATTGCGAGGCAATATTAATATTGCTCGATCCTTCATGGAATTTTTTTTTTTTTTTTTTTTCTTTCCAGTTTGGAGTCCTCTTCCTTCTTTTGTCACTTTGTTCATGTCAGCCATTGCTTGTGGACTCTTACGTTTAGTCAGTGTTAGCCAAAATAAAGCTTTGCTTGATTCAAGCCATTGATGAAGCCTCGCTTGATTCAAGTTATTCATCAAACTTTGTTTGATTTTGGCTAACGCCCCCATCAAGCTCAAGGTGGTAATGTAGATTCCAGTTTAGTCGACAAAATAATGTTAATAAGAAATATAAGCCTAAAGCCCCTAGAGTACCATCTTTATGTAAGTGATCAAGATGAAAAGCTTAGAAGCTACATCTTGTACGCATTCTACATAAAAGGCATGACTAAATTTGCATATCCAAAGCAAAACTATTCTATTTATTACTGTTATGCGCTATACTCCCTCCCTCCTATATGACAAATGGACCATATATATAGGATATGATATTCGCTGCTAATAATAGGAGAAATATGATGCTACAACTTAACCCAATTTTATATAGGTAGTAAGAAAAATGTTATCATAATAATCTACTTTAGATACTTTAGATTAACATAATTGATATTGCAATATTGCACACTAATTCAACTTAACTAGCGGCTAAGCTATTATTGACCTGATAATATGAGTAAAGTGAAGCCATAATTTGATGCCGGCATCAATGATTAAAGCCCCATTTCCTATAAAGTATTGTATTAAGAAAGAAAAGGAAGGCAAAAAGAATTTAATTAGATGAAAGGTGGTAGGTAGTCGTTTGATGAAGATGTTAATGTTTAGTTACAGCGTCGTTTATGGTTGAGTGGCCATATTCTTATGATTTAACATTGTGCTTAATTCTCCTTGGCATTTCACCTTCGATTTGGTGTTCAGTACAATGAGTGGGTGGATATCTAGAAACAAGAAATATCAAAGACATAAACAGAAACGTACTTATCTCAAAAAGACTGTGTCCTTTATTCAGTTTCTTTTTCCAATGATTATCCTAAATTTACTCCATGTTTAGGTTAATAATTTCAGACTTCAGAGGAGGGGTTCAATATCAAACAATTATAATGAGATGTATGAACAACACTGTAAAATTGAATTCATCAATCAAATAAACAAAATACTGAAGGTCGTCAGATGTACATCTAAAACTACTCGATTTCTATATATATTTATATACACAAAATAATAAATGTTTAATCAATTTTACAAGCTAAGCAACCCATTCTTTAGTATTGACATGGTTGCTTTATTTAAAGTGGGTATGTCACTTAGAAATGAAGATGTAATGTATGTTGAGCAGTTTTTTTCATAATGAAATGGGAAAAGGTATGGTATTTTTGTCAATGGGAGCTGGGAAGGATTCAAGTAAGTGGGGTACTTGACACATGCAATATAGAGTTTTATATAGGGAGAACAACAATTTCCCACTCAAAGTTTGGTGAAACGACTCTTTTCCACCCATCAAGTTTCTAAATAACACTTTTTCACCTTTTGTGAGATTTTGTTAATGTTTTTTTGTTAATATTTGATTGAAAAGATAAAAATAACAATAAATATTTGATTTTATAAATTTTTTATTATTTTTAATTAGCCAAAAAAAATCAAATATTAAAAATTCAAAAAAAAAAAAAATAATTAGCCCAAATTAAAAAATTAAGAGTAATACTATGAAATTGTTTAAAGTTAAATGACCTTAATATTTATTTATAATGTCATTAATATTTTAACACTATTATTCAATAATATACAAATTTTATTTTATGGAAAAATGATATTGACAACATAAAATAATGTTTTTCTTTTTTACTAATTAATATAGAAAATCTTAATAGATTATGAAAGAGCAACCAAAAAGCTTTTTTACTAAGTTTATTATAATGTATTAGCCATTAAATATGACTTAGACTAAGTTGTTTATACATGTTTGTCACGTCATTAGAATTCAATTGATATTTCTAATTAATTAAATAAATAAAAGAAAAAATATCTTTATCTTTAAACTAATAAATAATCGAATAAAAACTTTGATTTAACTAAATTTTAATATATAACAAACTAATTAAAAAATAAATTATTTAAATATATTTTTATCTTTTTAATTAAATATTTACAGAAAACACTATGGCAACTTGAGAAATGTGAAAAAGTGTTATTTGGAAACTTGAAGGTGAAAATCTGTCGTTTCGCAAACCTTGGGTGGGAACATGGCGTTCTCCCTTTTATTTATTAGTTTTGTGAGAGAGAAGCATTTCTTTGAATCTAAGCTAGCTATTGCCACTTCTGCCAGCGTCTTTCAAACTAACAAACTTCAACTATATCCTTCTCATCTAGCTACCTTAACGTCTCTTAGACTCAAACCTACGACTTCTCAACTCACAGTTTGGTAGAAACACCCCATTCATCACCATATCTCACGTTCTCTCTTACTCCAGGCTCACCATTTCCTCTCTTCCTTATAATACTCTCTCTCCCGTTTACCCTCTCACCAACCGTCCTTCTTCTTTCTTTCACTTCTTTTGTTTGCCATGGCTTCAAACCCCATGGCTGGTCTTGTTGCTGGTTCTCATACCCGAAACGAACTCCATGTTATGCATGGTTCTGAAGAGGTAACTTTTTCTTATTCTTTATCATCTTTAAACTACATTATTGATCTTTTGTCTTAATTGTCTATGAATGTGGTGCATGTTTCTTATGAATATATATGTATATGATATATGTGGCAGAACCGGCCACCGACCCGCCAGTCTGCACCAAAAACCTGTCGAGTTTGTGGTGATGAGATTGGACTTAAAGAGAATGGTGAGCTGTTTGTGGCGTGTCACGAATGTGGGTTCCCGGTTTGCAGGCCTTGTTATGAGTATGAAAGGAGTGAAGGCAACCAATGTTGCCCTGGCTGCAATACTCGCTATAAGCGTCACAAAGGTACGTACATATTACTCTCATTATCATTTTTTTTTTTTATCTGTTTTAAGACGCTTAAATTTGTTATCAAATACTTGAAGATGCGGTGCTCGGTATTTAATTTCTCTATGTTGCAGGTTGTCCTAGAGTTTCAGGAGATGAGGAAGAAAACTTTGATGCTGATGATTTTGAGGATGAGTTTCAGATCAAGAACCGCTATGACGATAACCAAGATCAGAATCATGTCACTTCTCGCTCGGTAACTAATATATAATCGATCTCATTAACTTGGAATTGCTCACTTGGAGATTTATGTTCAAATCCACTTCTTCAATATTGGAGAAAAGTTGACAATTAACTATTACCAACTGATAAAAAATTATAGCTCCACCAATGTGCTTTATTTTATTTATTTAATTTTGTTAAAGTATAAAGAGTGTATTCAAACAATAGGAAGAGACACCTAAGATCAAGGTGGTCAAATTTGCAGGAGCATGGGGACTATAACCAACAGGCATGGCATCTCAACGGTCCAGGTTCCTTTGCAGGAAGCGGTAAGCATGCTAAGTTATTTCTCTTCATTAATATGTTCTATATTGGAGGTTCTTTTACTTTTTTTTCATTTTTGAAACATTTTTGTTTGCTAACGATTTGATGTTGGGTTGGGGTGTAGTTGCTGGAAAGGATTTTGAAGGTGAGAAAGAGGCTTACAGTAGCGCGGAGTGGCAAGAAAGAGTTGAGAAGTGGAAAATTAGGCAAGAAAAGAGAGGTTTAGTCACCAAAGATGATGGAGGCAATGACCAAGGGGATGAAGATGACTTCCTGTATGTGTTAATTTTATCATCTTTATATATTTCTTTCCCCAAAAAGACTAATGACAGAACTATGAAATAAGTTGAATTGGAAACCATTCTTTTGACCTAATTTTTTCATCAATTAATTTCAATAAAGTATTTCCCTTATATTAATTTGAATAAATAAAAAATCGATCGTTCAAATACTTAAACTAAACCCCTTTTATTGCTTCCAGTTTGGCCGAAGCTAGGCAACCACTGTGGCGAAAAGTTCCAATCCCATCAAGCCAAATCAGCCCATATCGCATAGTCATCATCCTCCGTTTCATAATTCTGGGGTTTTTCCTTCGTTTCCGTATCTTAACTCCAGCCTATGATGCTTTTCCATTATGGCTTATCTCTGTAATTTGTGAAGTATGGTTCGCCTTCTCTTGGATTCTTGATCAATTTCCGAAATGGTGTCCCATAACCCGTGAAACCTATCTGGACCGCCTGTCCTTCAGGTTTGAGCGCGAGGGCGAAGCCAATCGCCTTGCCCCAGTTGATGTTTTTGTGAGTACAGTTGACCCTCTTAAGGAGCCACCAATCATTACAGCAAACACAGTTCTATCAATCTTGGCCTTAGATTATCCTGTTGACAAGGTGAGCTGTTATGTATCTGATGATGGTGCTTCCATGCTGCTTTTCGACGCACTCTCAGAAACCGCTGAGTTTGCAAGGAGATGGGTACCATTCTGTAAGAAGTATGCTATTGAACCAAGGACTCCTGAATTCTATTTCAATCAGAAGATTGACTACTTGAAAGATAAAGTGCAGCCTACTTTTGTAAAGGAGCGCAGAGCCATGAAAGTAAGAAAGCCAACTCCACAAATTTAAGTAATATTTCTAAGGGTCATATTACACTTCTACGATTAAATCAAGCTTAAGGGATTTTTTGTATGTGTTGTAGAGAGAGTATGAAGAATTCAAAGTGAGGATTAATGCCTTGGTGGCAAAGGCTCAGAAAAAACCAGAAGAAGGGTGGGTGATGCAGGATGGTACCCCATGGCCTGGGAACAACACTCGTGATCATCCTGGCATGATTCAGGTTTTGCAAGATCGTCTTTGCTAAGTTTTTTTTTTTTTTTTTTTTTTTTCCTTCTTAAAGTTATCAAATTCATTTAGATCCAGTTCTTGCTCCGCAGGTCTATTTGGGAAGTGAAGGTGCACTTGACGTAGAGGGTAAGGAGCTGCCTCGTCTTGTGTATGTTTCGCGTGAGAAACGGCCTGGTTATAACCACCACAAGAAAGCCGGTGCCATGAATGCTCTGGTGGGTATCTCTTTGTTATAAGTTCAATTGTTTTTTAAGTTCTGTTGATATCTAATTAATGGTTCGAATTTCTTTGCTTTGTTGTATAGGTTCGAGTCTCTGCCGTGCTTACCAATGCACCCTTCATGTTGAATTTGGATTGTGACCACTACATCAACAACAGCAAGGCTGTAAGAGAAGCTATGTGTTTCTTAATGGACCCCCAGCTCGGGAAAAAGCTCTGTTACGTCCAGTTTCCCCAGAGGTTCGATGGTATTGATCGTAACGATAGATATGCTAATCGCAATATTGTGTTCTTTGATGTAAGTCATAATAATTTGATTCACGTTCTTGGTTTCCACTAAGCTCAAGTAGAATTGGGTAACTAATTTCATCCATGTTTTGGGTACAGATTAACATGAAAGGCCTAGATGGGATACAAGGACCAGTTTATGTTGGCACAGGATGTGTCTTCAATCGGCAGGCATTGTACGGTTATGATCCACCTGTGTCTGAGAAGCGGCCTAAGATGACCTGTGACTGCTGGCCTTCATGGTGCTGCTGTTGCTGTGGTGGTTCCAGGAAGTCAAAGTCAAAGAAGAAAGGGGAAAAGAGAAGCTTGTTTAGTGGACTGTACTCCAAGAAGAAGAAAATGATGGGCAAGAACTATGTGAGAAAAGGGTCTGGACACGTCTTTGATCTCGAAGAGATTGAAGAAGGACTTGAAGGATACGAAGAGTTAGAGAAGTCATCACTTATGTCACAGAAAAATTTTGAGAAGAGATTCGGACAGTCACCGGTTTTTATAGCTTCCACTCTCAAGGAAGATGGTGGCCTCCCTGAAGGAACTGGTAGCGCATCACTTATCAAGGAAGCCATTCACGTGATAAGTTGTGGCTATGAAGAAAAAACAGAGTGGGGTAAAGAGGTAACAATGAATCAGCTCTTTTACCTTCTATGTAACTTGTGGCTTTTATATACTGGTTAAGTTTTTTCAAGTATGTTGAACATGTGCTATGAACTTTTATGACTAGTGGAGTTCCCCTTTTTGCAGATTGGATGGATTTACGGTTCAGTTACAGAAGATACTTGACAGGATTTAAGATGCACTGTAGGATGGAAGTCAGTGTACTGTATGCCAAGAGACCAGCATTCAAGGGATCAGCTCCTATTAATCTATCAGATCGATTGCACCAGTTCTGCGATGGGCTCTTGGTTCTGTTGAAATTTGTCTCATCGTCACTGTCCATTGTGGTATGGTTATGGAGGAAAGCTGAATGGCTGGAGAGGCTTGCTTACACCAACACCATTGTTTACCTTTACTTCCATTCCTTTACTTGCCTATTGTACTGTTCCAGCTGTCTGCCTTCTGACTGGAAAATTTATCATCCCCACGTAAGTATAAATTCCAATTGGTTTCAGAAATAATGATTCTTAGTATTCTATTGCCATTTAACTCTAGTATGCAGTTACTATTAGTCAATCACTACTAATTGGGAGAGAAATTAATCTGAAAGCTAGGAGATTAGTGTTGCAGAAATCTGAAAATACCTCGCTGAGTTAAAATGTGCCAATTAGAAGAAGAGTTGTGTAGAAGTAGCTTCTGAAACAAGAAAATTGATAATGTGCCATCTTTTTTTTTCTGACCAAAATTTTGGTTTCTGCATGTGAACAATTTTGCTAGCATATGGTTCTTGGCACTTTTCATCTCCATCGTGACAGGTGTGCTTGAGCTTCGATGGAGTGGTGTAAGCATTGAGGACTGGTGGCGAATGAGCAATTCTGGGTTATTGGTGGTGTCTCTGCCCATCTTTTTGCAGTCTTCCAGGCCTACTAAGGTCCTTGCTGGGTTGACACCACTTTACTGTAACATCAAAAGCAGCAGAAGATGAAAGGTTTGGGGAACTTTACCTCTTCAAGTGGACTACCCTCTATCCCACAAACCACTCTTATAATCTTAAACATGGTGGGGTCGTGGCTGGAGTTTCTGACGCAATTAACAATGGCTATGCTCATGGTCCTTTATTCGGAAAGCATTTTTCGCCTTCTGGTCATTGTCATCTGTATCCTTTCCTCAAAGGTTTGATGGAAGGCAAAACAGGACTCCTACCATTGTGGTCCTTTGGTCGGTCCTTCTTGCATCAATTTTCTCGCTGCTTTGGGTTCGAATTCCTTTCTTGCCCAAGCAAACAGGTCCACTTCTCAAACATGTGGAGTGGAATGCTAGTTTGCTCCCGATATCCTTAACCTTTCTCCTCATGATTCTTTGTTCAGCTTGTAGGCTTTTGCTTGGTTGTTTCTCCTAATGTTTTGAAAAACTTGTTAGTGTATAGAGGTTATACTCAATGTAGTCCTTATGTTTCTACTCACGAGTTTTTAATTGATGCCACCGGCATCATGCATACTTTAAAGATATAAAAACAATTTTCTGCAATTTGAAGAAGTACTGCATCAAAATTGCTTCAATTGAACAGTGTCTTTACACTTTGAGACAAATGAGTCAAATCTAGATCAAGCTAAATTATGTTTAAAGTCCATGTCCGAATCTGGCATCCAAAGCTCATCGTAAAACTCCAAAAGGGTTATTAACATGTGTCTTATTGGAGATAAGATATAATCACCACTAAATCTTTGAAAAAAGTTGCCATTAAGAACTTCAGATTGAAAAAAATTTCAAATTCACATTTCCGTGTTTGGGCAAAGAGTCAATCAAATTTTATACAAATAGGGAGTTGAACATTCAATATAATTAAATGACTTGATTAATTTCTTCCTTCAGTTTTTCCGGTCATCTGCATGAGTTATTTCCACAGCCCCATGGGAACATGCCCAACTCGGAACCAACGCGAGAAAATGACTGAAGATTATTCGAGTAACACTCCCACACGGTCGAAGTCCTTTTGAGTTTGACCAGAGACAAAAAGAAAGAGGATTAAGCGGTTGAGATTCTAAGAGGGCACCATGGCGCTACTGAGTAAATAATGAGATTTGACTTGAAATAGTATTTGGAATGCTCAGAATATTAAAAGGACAAAGGGTTTGCAGAAGAAGCAAATACTTAACGAAAATGATAGAACCACCGAAGGTTGTGTACCGAATCTGTGTACCAAATGACATGACAAAATCTTGACCGTTGATTTATTATCAGTTAATATTAATCAACGGTCAAGATTTTACCATGTCATTCGGTGCATAGATTCGGTGCATAACCTTTGGTTGTTGTAGTATTACTCAATACTTAAAATGAATGGTAATACATATTTCATTTATAAGCTAATTATTTTACACATAAATACCAGCAGTGATCACTGGTACAAAGTAATGGCATTTCGGACGAAATACCCAACACTCTTATTGTATACATATTACTGAAACATGAAATTGGCATACAACTGTAGGCAAGACCAACCAAGCTCTTTCCGAATTTTGTTCTACTTTTGAAAGCTTGTTAGCTTGTTATGGTTACCCTGGGTCTTTGCAGACAATTCTTGTGCAACAAAACGCATAGAAGGTCGTCCTTCCGGAGTGGTATGCGTGCATCCTAATGCTACATTCACCACAAACATCACTTCTTCTGCTAATTGGCCAGTGGGAGGTGGGAGCCGCTGGTCTAACACATCCTTTAAAAACAATTCAGGATTTTCTGGTAATGATTTTTTTGATGAAGATAGAGAAGCCAGGAGTTCACCCGGGTGCCTTCCCATCATAACTTCTAATGTCACCACTCCAAAGCTATAAACATCACACTTTTCTGTGACCCGCATTGTAAGTGCAAGTTCTGCACAGAATAATTTACCAATCCCAAAAAAAAAAAATTCATGAAAATGCATTCTGGCTTCTAGGATTGCAAAAGTATGTTTAAGAGACAAGTATCTCAAGGAAATAACATGAAGTAATCTTATATTTACGATAGGAAAAATTTTATGCAGGAGATCAGAGTAATCTGTATTGTGCGAAGTGCCTGAAGAGACAAAAATAAAAATGCACATAGGAGGTTGCTCACTTACCTGGAGCCATGTAGCCATAAGACCCAGCAAGTATGGTCCAGTTCGAAGAATCTGGATTCAACAGTCTTGCAATGCCAAAATCGGAGAGTCGCGGTTCAAAATCTGTCTCAAGCAAGATATTACTCAAGGATATGTCCCGGTGCACAATTGGTGGTGAGCAGTCATGGTGCAAGTAAGCAATTGCATGCGCCACTCCTCGCACAATTTTCACTCTCGCAGCCCAGTCCAGCTCTACTTTCCCCTCCAACTCATACAGAACTTTCCTCAAACTACCTCTTTTTACATATTCATAAACCAAGTACATGCATCCTCTCTTAGAACAAAACCCGTGTAGCTTGACAATATTCCGGTGCCTAACATCTGTCAACACACGTATCTCATTCTCAAAGCTTTGGCGATTGGAAAAAGGAACATCTCAATTTTCTCGCTGCTTTGGGTTCGAATTGATCCTTTCTTGCCCAAGCAAACAGGTCCACTTCTCAAACAATGTGGAGTGGAATGCTAGTGTTGCTGCCGATATCCTTAACCTTTCTCCTGCATGATTCTTTGTTCAGCTTTGTCAAGCTTTTGCTTGGTTGTTTCTCCTAATGTTTTGAAGAAACTTGTTAGTGTATAGAGGTTATACTCAATGTAGTCCTTATGTTTCTACTCATGATGTTTTAATTTGATGCCACCGGCATCATGCATACTTTAAAGATATAAAAACAATTTTCTGCAATTTGAAGAAGTACTGCATCAAAATTGCTTCAATTGAACAGTGTCTTTACACTTTGAGACAAATGAGTCAAATCTAGATCAAGCTAAATTATGTTTAAAGTCCATGTCCGAATCTGGCATCTAAAGCTCATAGTAAAACTCCAAAAGGGTTATTAACATGTGTCTTACTGGAGATAAGATATAATCACCACTAAATCTTTGAAAAAAGTTGCCATTAAGAACTTCAGATTGAAAAAAATTTCAAATTCACATTTCCGTGTTTGGGCAAAGAGTCGATCAAATTTTATACAAATAGGGATTTGAACATTCAATATAATTAAATGACTTGATTAATTTCTTCCTTCAGTTTTTCCGGTCATCTGCATGAGTTATTTCCACAGCCCCATGGGAACGTGCCCAACTCGGAACCAACGCGAGAAAATGATTGAAGATTATTCGAGTAACACTCCCACACGGTCGAAGTCCTTTTGAGTTTGACCAGAGACAAAAAGAAAGAGGATTAAGATGTTGAGATTCTAGGAGGGCACCATGGCGCTACTGAGTAAATAATGAGATTTGACTTTAAATAGTATTTGGAATGCTCAGAATATTAAAAGGAGAAAAGGGTCTGCAGGAGAAGCAAATACTTAAAATGAACGGTAATACATAATTGATTTATAAGCTAATTATTTTGCACATAAATACTAGCAGTGATCACTGGTACAAAGTAATCGCATTTCGGACGAAATACCCAACACTCTTATTGTATACATATTACTGAAACATGAAATTGGCATACAACTGTAGGCAAAACCAACAAAGCTCTTTCCAAAGTTTGTTCTACTTTTGAAAGCTTGTTAGCTTGTTATGGTTATCCTGGGTCTTTGCAGACAATTCTTGTGCAACAAAACGCATAGAAGGTCGTCCTTCCGGAGTGGTACCCGTGCATCCTAATGCTACAGTCACCACAAACATCACTTCTTCTGCTAATTGGCCAGTGGGAGGTGGGAGCCGCTGGTCTAACACATCCTTTAAAAACAATTCAGGATTTTCTGGCAATGATTTTTTTGATGAAGATAGAGAAGTCAGGAGTTCACCCGGGTGCCTTCCCATCATAACTTCTAATGTCACCACTCCAAAGCTATAAACATCACACTTTTCTGTGACCCGCATTGTAAGTGCAAGTTCTGCACAAAATAATTAACCCCCCCCCCCCCCCCCCCAAAAAAAAAAAATAATGAAAATGCATTCTGGCTTCTAGCATTGCAAAAGTATGTTTAAGAGACAAGTATCTGTAGGAAATAACATTAAGTAATCTTATATTTACGACAGGAAAAAATTTATGCAGGAGATCAGAGTAATCTGTATTGTGTTAAGTGCCTGAAGAGACAAAAATAAAAATGCACATAAGAGGTTGTTCACTTACCTGGAGCCATGTAGCCATAAGACCCAGCAAGTGCGGTCCAGTTCGAAGAATCCGGATTCAACAGTCTTGCAATGCCAAAATCGGAGAGTCGTGGTTCAAAATCTGTCTCAAGCAAGATATTACTCAAGGATATGTCCCGATGCACAATAGGTGGTGAGCAGTCATGGTGCAAGTAAGCAATTGCATGCGCCACTCCTCGCACAATTTTCACTCTCGCAGCCCAGTCCAGCTCTACTTTCCCTTCCAACTCATACAGAACTTTCCTCAAACTACCTCTTTTTACATATTCATAAACCAAGTACATGCATCCTCTCTTAGAACAAAACCCGTGTAGCTTTACAATATTCCGGTGCCTAACATCTGTCAACACACGTATCTCATTCTCAAAGCTTTGGCGATTGGAAAAAGGAACATCACTGGTGTCTGACACACTAAGTTTCTTAACTGCAACCATTTGACCTTTCGGCAATAAGGCCTTGTACACACTTCCAAATCCTCCTTTTCCAATGAAGTATTCCCCACTAAAATCCTGGGTGGCCCTTTCAATATCCCCAAAAGTAAATTTTCCATCTCTCTCCCATATCAACGACTCAGAACTATCACCCCATTGACTGCTTTTCGCCTCCTCACCAATGAGTTTGGTTTTGCGCCCATAAATTGAAACTCCAGCAATAATGAGTGAAAGAATTAGCAGGCTACATAGAGGAACAATGACACCTATAAGAACCTTCTTTTTCTTGTCTGCGGATTTTCCAGGGGCGGATGGTAAATTACAAGAAGTTAATCCTGCTGCATCTCCACACAGACCTGAGTTTCCAGCAAAAGCATCTTCAGATGCATTCTTAAACATGCTGCCACTTGGAATTTGACCTGATAACTCATTGTAGGAGAAGTCAACAACATGTAGACTGATCAGGCCAGATAACGATTCAGGAATACTCCCTGAGAGCTTGTTATGCGACAAGTTGAGATTTTCCAGTTTCGTAAGCTTTCCCAGATTTTGAGGGATTGATCCGGAGAGTGAATTGCGGCTGAGGTCCAGCATGCACTGCAATTCGAGTAAATTGTCAAGCTCGGGTGGAATTTCACCTGATAAACCATTGAAGCTCAAGTTCAAGCTCAATAATTTTTCACAACTCTTTAGATCCTCAGGTATATCTCCAGTCAATTTGTTATTTGCCAAATCGAGATACTGGAGCATACTGAAATTGCCTATGCTGTGAGGGATCTCTCCTGTAAGGTGATTACTACTCAAATTGAGTTTGAGCAACTGACCGAGGTTTCCCAATTCATTCGGAATTTCCCCAGTTAGTTCATTGGAGTCTAGGCTTAGAACTCCCAAGCGAGTCAAACTTCCGAGCTCAGCAGGAATATCTCCGGAAATTCTATTTCTGTCCAACTGCAGGTTACTGAGATTTCTGCATTCTCCCCACACAGGGGAGATTTCACCAATAAATTGATTGTTGCTTAGAGAAATAAAATCAAGTTTTTCATGAACTCCGAACGCTTCCGTGATATTACCCGTGAATTGGTTGCCATCAAGTCGGACTCTATTCAGATTTTTACAATTACGCAAGCAAGCAGGCAATGATCCTGTAAAGTTATTGCCATTTACAGTAAAATCTTCAAGAGCAAAAACGCTGCATAACTCAGGTGGCAATTCTCCGGAGAAGCTGTTGTTAGAGAAGCTAACATAGGTCAACTGAATATACTTCCCAAAATCCCTAGGAATGCTGCCAGAGAAATTATTGGTAAACAGAGAGATTGACTTTAAAGAAGGGAGGCGAGAAATGTTCTGTGGCAACTCTCCATACAGCTGGTTTGTATTGACGTCAAAAGTAGCCAATGAAGCCAAATTTTCAATCTCTGGTGGAATTGTACCACTGAGATTATTGGAGAAAAGTTGTAAGCCTTGAAGGTTTGTGAGATCCCACAATGTTTTAGGAATTGGACCTGAAAGCTGATTTCCAGAAAGGTCTAAACTTGCTAGGTTAATCAAGCTTCCAAACTCTGATGGGATAGGGCCAGAGAGTTTGTTGTTATACAGGTAAAGGTAATTAAGATTTGTCAATAAGCCAATTTCTGGTGGAATCTTCCATGTGAAGGAATTGTTTTGAAGCTGCAGCGAGACCAATTCAGTCCAACTGGAAATGAGATCAGGTGAAATCTCACCGGAGAGTAAATTATCAGACAAACCCAATTCAGACAATTTGATCAGATTTGACAAGGACAAAGGCAACTCCCCGCTGAGCCGATTTATTGCCAAGGCCAAGTACGTAAGGTTAGTACAAAGGCCAAGCTGAGAGGGTATGGTCGAATTTAAGGCATTGAGACGGAGATCAAGTATCTGAAGCTTTTTGAGTTGGCCTAAAGAAGATGGAATCTTCCCACTAAAAGAATTGTTAAACAATTCAATCATTTGGAGATCAGACAACAAACCTATATCCTCAGGAATTGGACCGCTAAGTTTGTTACTTGCAAAGCGAAGTTGTACGAGATTGGAAAGCTTGGAAATATTTGTTGATAATGGTCCGTGGAATTGATTCTCTGTGAGATTGAGGTATTGAAGCTTGCCCAGATTTGTAAAAACAAGTTCTGGTATTTGACCACTCAACTTATTCAGTGACAAATCGAGGTAGGTCAAGATCCGGCAATTTAATACAAAAGAAGGAAATTCCAAATGAAGTTCATTGTAGTAAAGGCTAAGGTGTTGCAGCGAAGGCATAGCTGAAAAATTGGACCAGTCAGGGGATTCTAAAAAGTTTGCTCCAAGGTCTAAGTACCATACCTTTTGAAGGTTGCTAAGTTGATGAGGGATGGTACCATTGAGAGAGTTGTTGGAAAGATTAAGATACTCAAGCTCTGTTAACTGCACTATATCCGAAGGAATGATGCCTCCAAAAATGTTGGATCCCAAATCCAAGTAAGCTAGCTTAGCGAGACTACCAATGGCAGAGGGTATGTCTCCATCAATATTGTTGCTGCTGAGGTCAAAGTGAGTGAGAGTTGAAAATTCAGTGAAGTTGAATTCTGTGAGAACCCCAGTGATGTTTTCTCCTGAGAGGTTTATCTTAGAAACTGTTCCGGCGAAGTCGCAAACAATGGAAGTCCAGTTGCAGAGATTGTTGATGTTGGTGAGTGACCAAGAAGCAAGAGAAGAAGGTTGAAAACTGAAGGTGTTCTTCCATTTGATGAGAGCGTCGGCTTGAGTTCTCGGTGATGCAGTAATCTTCAAAGAAAGTAATGAAAACAGCAGAATGTGAAAGAGAACCACACAAGTCTTCCTAGCTGATCTCATATTATTTTCTGTATTTCTTAGCATTGCAATTTGGTATGTAAGGGTTCAAGCTAGTTAAATAAAGCTACTGTATGTCCTTTCGAGTCTTCTCTTAGCTTGACTTTGACTATAAATATGGTTCTGCAATTATTCCATGGAACAGTTTGCAAATGGCTTTTTCTATCATGGAATATGGGGCTGATTTTTCCAGCTATCACACAATGAAAGTATCTTCCAGTCAATCGTGGCCACTACGATGATAAGAATGAGAGGTATTTTCTAGTTTGAACAGGTTTGGCATCTTAATATTCCTTGTTCAATAATCAATACTAACATAGGAATAACTACAGTGAGTCAACCCTATCTATCAGGTAGTTCTCCATCCAGTTGACCATCAAAATACTCATTTTATCCCTCATTTCTTCTAACACCCATTCTTCAATTTAAAAATTTTAAGTTACAAACAAAACAATCACAATAAATTAGTAATACACAAACTTTTCACAACGAAATACAAAGAATTTTTAAGTTAACAATCTCAGAATTAAAAAGAAAAGAATGTTGTAGATGCCTCAAAACATGCAGGATTTTTTCATTTTGCTTCAAACAAATGGTGTGCACGTAATTATATCACTAATAACATATTCTAGTGAACCCAATATTTGATGACCTAATTTCCTCAACTCAACAAAACATTAAGCAATACTGTTATAATGGATTCATTACTTCTCATTTTCTCAATTATTAACCGCATATATTTTCAATTCAAGATTTATTAACAAGAAAACAAAAACAATTTCAGCTTCAAGGTTAGCTGTTAGCCTGCTAGCACAAACAAACCTTTGTAGGAAAGGATCTATTTACCCAATTATTCTTCAGAAATTATTATCCGTATTTTCAGATAATTAACAGAATGGCTTCCCTTTACACAATTTTCTTATATCTCTGATTTAAAATGCACGATTAGATTTCATGAACAGGTTACAGTTGAAAAATCATTATCTGAAACTGTATACTCAACATTAATACATACGATGAGGATGAGCCAAACCTTATTCAAACACTTGCGTCAACACTAAACCCTTTTTGTTTTGTTTCAATAATTTGGGCAAGCCTAAGTAACCACCCTGGCGAAAGTCCCCATCCCCCTCAAGCACAGACATTGTTCTCCGTTTCATCATTCTTAGGTTTTTTTCTTCGTTTCCGTATCTAACTTCGGAGTATGATGCTTTTCCATTATAGGTTATCCCTGTAATTTGTGAAGTATGGTTGGCCTTCTCTTGGATACTTGATCAACTTGCCAAATGACGTCCCATAACCCGTGAAACCTACCTTGGTCGCTCGTCCGTGAGGGAGAACCCAACGGCCTACCCCTAGTTGGTGTTTCTGTCGGTACTGTTAACCCTCCTAAGAAGCCACCAATCATTACAGCAAACACAATTCAACCAATCTTGGCCTTAGATCATCCGGTAGACAAGGTGAGCTGTTCAGATGATTGTTGCGGTAAATAAATCTACGTAATTATTTCTATTAATTACATGTGTCTGCACATATTTCCACAATTTCTCCAACAACAATTGGGTTTGCAAAGAGATAGAGCTCTTGAATTTTACTTCTCTCACAAGATTTGCTACTTGAAAGATAAAGGTGCAGAACGCAGAGACATGAAAATACTCCTCTTCATGGTATAATCAATCAAACAAATTTAGTTCTTTTTAAGCGGTAAGGGGTTTTTGAACGTATTTGGGTAGCCTTTGGTTCCAAACTGATATAAGATTAGTAACGTAATCTTTGTTTAATTTTCAAGATTCTCTCGTTTGGTTGTCAAGTAATAAAATATTACGTAATCTTTTATTATAAATAATATTTACTATCGGTAATATTAGGGATAATCAGATTACATTTTTAAGGGGTGTTAATATAAGATTACCGAGGTAATCTTAATTTTGACCCTATTTTGCCCTTAATCTTTTATCATTTTGGATACATTTGCCCTCATATGTCTACCAAATAACAATTACCCAGACCCCCTACATTTGAGAATTTAGCTAAAACACCCTGCCACAAAAAAGTTTAAAAGTTAACAAAATACCCCCAACCACCCGAGACCACCACCGGCCACTAGCAACCACTGCTGGCTGCCGACAAAAGTCGTCATATTGGCACAAGACTGGCAGGATCTTTCCGGTCGTGTGTCGATAAGGACGTTTTCGGCCATAGATTTGTGATCCATGGCCGGAAACGACCAGATCTAGCCGTTTCACAACCAAAGATGTAGCCGTGAAACGCCATAGATCTAACCATGAAATGGTCGCCGTTTCACAACCAAAGATTTGGCCTTTTCACAGCCAGATATGTGGCCATTTCACGACCATATTCACGGCCAGATCTAGTAGTGAAACGGCTATATTATTTGCCAGATCTGGCCAGATTAGGCCTTATCGGCGCATGACCAGCCAGATCCAGCAGGTCATGCGCCATTATGGCGGTTGCCGGTGGTGGTGGCTGGCTGTCGGCGGTGGCTTGGGGTGAGTGGGGGTGATTTTGCTACAAATTAAAATTGTATATGGTTGGGGTTTTAGTAAAATTTCAAATATAGGGGGGTTAAAAGAAATAATTTAAAAAATAATAGAATAAAATTATATTATTTTTAAAAAGGAGGGCAATTTAGTAATCTACATAACATACCCACTCATTTATATTCCCAACCAAACATATTGTTATAACATACCCACCAATTTATTCCAACCGATCAAACACATTTCTTTAAAGATTCCCTAGTAATTTATCTTTCCAGTAATACAATATTCTTTAGTAATATAACATTCCCTGAACTAAACACACCCTTTAGGGTGTGTTTGGTTTGAGCCTTGAGGTAACAGAAGATTACTAGGTAATGTAATCTGATTACTTTAATTTTCTTAGGGAGCGTTTGGTTGGGGGTTATCTGGGATTACTCGGATTAAGGCATCTTATATTACTTGATTACCATGTTTGATTTTCAAGTAATATAAGATATCGGTAATCTTCAAATACCAATAGTGGTTACTATTGGTAATATTGGAGGTAATCTGATTACCTCAATTTTTTTAGGTATTCTAAGACTACCAAGGTTGTCTTTTTTTGTTACAATTATATCCCTTATTAATAAATTTTAGGACAATAATGCCCTTATTTTTGAATTTATTTACATGAATATAGCTTTTACTATTTCACCCCAATTAATTAACATTTTGGAAAAAATTACCCTTAAATTCAAAACAAATTATAGCCCACCCAGGCCACCACCCCCACCCATCTGTCACCGTCTGTCGCTAGCAACCACCGCTGCGGATAGCCGCCGAAATTGCGCACGAAAAAGGCCGAAAATGGTCATCGTGCGCCGATATGGCCATTTTCGGCTGGATAACTAGCCGAAATGGCCAGATTGTGCCAAATCTGGCCGTCAAAGGCCAGATCCGTTGATCGACCATTAGCGACCATGTCTGTGGCCGTCAACGGCTATCGATCTGGCTGTTAACGATCAGATTCGTCAACGACGGTCGTTAACGGCAACGTCTATGGCCGTTAACGACCAGATCTGTCACGGCTCTCTGGCCGAAAATGGCCATACGGCGCACGAAGGCCATTTCCTGCCTTCCATGCGCTGTTAGGTTGCCAGTTGCCGACGGCCTGTGGTGGTTGCCGGCAGTGGCTGGGTTGGTGGGGGTGCTTTGTTGATTTTTCAAACTTTTATTATGGGGTTGTTTTTGCTAAGTTTTTTAATGTAAGGGGGTTATAACAATCAATATTAAAAAATAATATAATAACAATATTTAATTAGAGGACAATTTAGTAATTTAAATAACATACCCACCAATTTATTCCTCCCAACCAAACATATTAATATAACATACCCACTAATTAACCAAACACATTTTTCTAAAGATTCCCACTAATCTTCAAGGTAATCTATCTTTCCAGTAATCCAATATTCCCTAAACCAACACCCCCTTAGGTATTTTTAAGATTATTTGGTAATCTTAATTTTTTTTTTTTAATTTTACCCTTTATTAATAAAATTTTAGAACAAGAATGCCCTTATTTTAAAAATAATTTACAAAAATATTAATTGATTATTTTATCCTTATATGCAAAGTTTTTAGGATATAAATACTCCTAAAATTAAAAACAATTACCCAAGGGTGGTGGCCGGATCACCACCGACACTGACGAAATGGCGCACGACCGACCAGATTTGGTCGGCCGAGCGCTACTAAGGTCGTTTCCAGCCATGGATATGTGATCCATATCTAAAATAGTCAGATAGTTGGTCGTGAAATGATGGCTGTTTCATGGCCAGATATCCATTGTCACTGTTGCCGCCAGTGGTAGCAGGCCACTGACAGTGGCTTGGGGTGGGTGCCTGGGTGGGGATGTTTTTGTTAAGTTTTAAACTTTTTTGTTGCTAGGGTATTTTAGCTAAATTTGAAATGTAAGGGGTTAACATAAATTTAAAAAAAAAATATTATATTAATATTTAAAAAAGAGGGCAATTTAGTAATTTATATAATATATCCACCAATTTATTCCTCCTAACTAGGCCTACAACCGAACTAAGTTGTTCGCGAACAATTCAAACTCGACTCAGCTTAAGTTCTTATTTGGCTCGGAATCTATCGAATCAAACTTGAACTCGAATAGTTCGAGTAATGTACAAACCGAGTATTGAACATGGTAGTACTCAGCTCAAAAGTTTTCGAACAGTTGAAAGTTTGCGAATAGTTAACGAGTTTTTGAGCTCTTAGGCTAGCGAACATTTCGAGCTCGGTAGGACATTGAACAAGCTTTCGAGCTTCGAAGTTCACAAACAGTTTAAAATTCACAAGCCTTAATGAGCTTTCAAGCTCTGAGGCTCGCAAAAAGTAAAATACATATTGATTATATATTTATAGACATTAATTGCCCCTCCAAGATTATTTCAAAAACTTTGATATTTATTTTAAAAAATTTACCCTCATTTTAAATAATACTGAAAAATACCATTGATTTGCCTGAAAATTTTGAAAATTTCCACTAGTCCATTATATATTTATTCATTATAATTTATAAATATAGTACTTATTAGCTTTAGCTATGCTATTTACAATGGCTGCAAACGAACCAAACAGTTCGCGGATAACTCGATGTTCGTTTGATAACTG